TGTATCTTCAAGAGTACTGATCCGTTCTTCCATTTCTCAATTCTGTTTTTCAATGCTTTTCCGAGAGCTCTCTGTCTCTCCAGTAATCTTTTAGTTCCTTCTTTTTATTTCCTTTTTAAGGTCTCATTTTCGTTCTTCAATTCATTGATATTTTGTCTCATATAATTTTTTTCCTTTCCGTATTCTTTACACTTTTTAATCATGATGAATCTAAATTTTCTGACAGGCAGAGAAGTTCTTCCATGTCATTGTTGTTGAGTTCTGGTGACTGATTTTCTTTTTGTGGTGTGTCCTTCCCCTGTGGCTTGCTCGATTATTTATATTTTTCCTTCTCCCTGCTGTTTGCTTTCTATTTAGTTCTGTGCATTGAGATGTTGTGCCACTGGTGTTGGCGGGCGTCTCTTTGGATTGCTTCTTCAAGGGTGTCAGAAACTGTTTACCAGACTGAGACCAGCACTTTAGGCCAAAACTCCACTAGGGTTTTGATGCTGTGGCTGTGTTGCTGGGCTCAGTCTGTTACAGTTCCCTCCCTCCATATTTACTCAGCTCCAGCAGGGAATCAGCTAGTTGGTGATTTTGCTCTGGTCACTAGGTGGCACAGAGATCTGTACTTGCCAACCTGTGCTTTTCCCCATAGTTCTCTGAGAAACTGGGTGGGGCTGGGGTAGGAGAGCACCTCAACACAGGGGCGGATTGCTCACGCTGGAAGCTGTGTCTGCCCCATGTTCACCTGTTGCTGTGCCCTGAATTCTGCACTCTAATTCTCAATCCCAGGTCTCAGATCCAAAACACCAGCTGTCACTCTGTGCAGTGCCCACTGTTACGGCAAATCCCATGCCCCAGATCTTATGCCTGGCTCTCAGTTCCAGAATGGGGTCTTGCTCCATGCCTTGTTTCCATTCTTACCCCTGTTTGTATGGCCTGCCCTCTCTCAGAGCCGGAGGGGGTTTTGGAAACCCTGGCTTCCGACTACTAGGAAGTGGGTGATTTTGTTCTGTTCATTAGGTGGCAGCAGAGATCTTTCCTAGTATCCTTCCAGAACTGTGCTTTTGCCCTGTGGGTCTCCTGGCGAACTGAGTGGGGGTGGCGTGGAATGCCTCAACGGTGTGGGGGTGCTGTGTATGCCCTGTGCCGCGTGGTGTGGGATCCCCCCCGCCCTGAATTTCACTCTCGGTTTTCAGCTCTGAAGCCCTCAGATCTGGGGCGCCGTGGTAGCCCAGTTCAGTGTTGTCAGAAATGGCACCTTTTGCACCCTGCTCCAGTGCCCAGGCGCCTGGTTTTTGATAACCCAGTGGGGTCATTCACCTCAGTGCCGGCTCCCTCACATCTCCCCACAAACCTAGGTCCCAGGGATCTGGGCAGCCACGATCCGCGTATGCTTTTCCAGCGCGGGTGCGCTTTTCCGCGCAAGTTTACTGCCTGGCCTTTGGCTATTTGCAGGTCTCTCTGCGGAGTCCTTTTCTTCCTCCAGTGGCGCCAGGAGCCATTCACTCACCTCCTTGGCGGTTCCCGCAGGATTCTCCATAGTTCCCGGTCTTGGGTTGTTGTGCCTGCAGTAGTTCCTTTCCACTCACTGTCCCACTTGATCTCTAGTTTGCTCTTGTTTTTGTTGGTTTTTTTTTTTTTTTTTTCTCCTTCTTATTGGTCGGAGAGTGCCGGCTTTGTGGGTGGCGGAGGGTAGCAAGGTTCTGAGCTTTCCTCTCTTCTCGTCCTCTTTTATTGTAACTTTCCTCTTTGCGCAGTTTGCCAGAGTCGCCCATTTATCTTCCGTGTCCCGGTTCTCCCAGGGACCTGCCGCTTTTCCTCCCTATTACCGGTTTTATGGGAGAACTTACTGGTAGCGTTTCTCCACCACCATGTTGATCCTCTCTCCCCTTATAAATTCTATCTTTAGACAACATCTTAACGAAAACTTCTAATTTGAAAACTGTCAATACATAGAAATCAAGGTGGTTTCAAAGAAATAATCCTTGAAATAGGAATTGATAGAATATAGACATTTTTGAAAAAGGTATACTGACAGAATTATCCTTATAATGTTAAAACTGATTAATATTTACTTTTTTCAGAGTGCTTTTCAAAGGATTTATTTTTTTAAGTTCTTAAATGTTATGAGGTATTAGTGATACTGTGGATAAAGAAACTGAGGCAAAGAGAATATTACGTGACTTGTTCAAGTTCTGAAAGCATTGCCACAGTTGAGATGCAAATGTTATGCCATTTTTCATCCTCGTAGACATAAAATATGATTGGTCTCACTTGGAAGAATTTTCAGTAGGCACGGCTGTTGAAATCTGAATGATGTTAGTCTTATTTTTGCCTTTTAGATTTGAATTTGAAGGAAATCAGGAGGGAGAAATTACTGGCTTCAATTTTTAAAGAGATGTTTTCTGGAAATTCAGTAGCAGAATTTTTGATTTTTAGAATTAGAGGCCAGAAATGTTTCTTCAATGTTAGGATTATGCTGGTATGTACATTTTTATGTACTTCCATTATCCATTTTGGCCATTATTTTGGTAGGGTGCTAAGGTCAAGGCCTTAAATGGTATTCTTAGTGTGAACTTTATGTAGCGCATTGTCGTGGATTCTTAAAATATTATTCAATGTCATTACAGATTTTGTCCATGATAGAAGAAGCGGCTGGAACCAGGATGTATGAATACAAAAAATAGCTGCCCAGAAAACTATAGAAAAAAAGGAGGCTAAGCTTAAAGAAATTAAGACGGTAATGAAATTTATATAAAATGTCTAAATTTTTTTTAAAAGATTTGTTTATTTATTTATACAAGCACTGGGTACAGTCAGAAGCGCGGAAGGGTGAGAGAATTCACCAGAGCCAGAGCTGGGAACAGAACAGGCAGATTGACGAAATACACTACTGAGGGGAGCAGTGGGCGCAGCAGGAGAGGTCTGTCACGTCATGTGGGACCCTTGTTGGGGCCGGGGATCGAACCGGAGCTGCAGAGGCTGCGGGCAGCTTTGCAGCCCAGTGCTCAACCGCTGCGCCACCAGGGGAGGCCCTATATGAAATGTTTATAAAGAAGACAGTGATTTTTTTTTGACATTGCTTTCCTATAAAGAAGGAAATTTTCTCCTATTCATTTTCTTAGCCTCCCATGTTATTTTTCCTAATGGTACTTTACATACTTTTTCCTTTATTTTTTAGATACTTGAAGAAGAGATTACACCAACCATTCAAAAATTAAAAGAGGTATACACTATAGATGTGAAGATAACCAATTATAATGTCTCTCAAAATTGGTGATGTGTTCAGGATCAAACATGAGGAATGAATTGTATACTAAACAGGAATTTTTTTTTCTGGGATGAAATAAGGAATAGAATTAGTACTCTGTAACTCAGCCTTCTGCTTTTAGAGGACATGTACTTTATATCTATTAAGTCATAATGATTTTGAAGATTGCTCTTCATAATCTCAGAAAATGATTTGCCATATTTCAATGTTTTGTTGGAGAGAAATAAGTCTAGATTTTCTTGCATAACCAGAATTGACTGGAGTAATATTTCTTGATGATAATGGCAGTCTTCCCTTGTTAGCATGAATAACTCCTAGCATGATTGGACTATCACTACCATTATTGCTGTCAAGGCATTTGGTGAGTGAAGGTAATGAAACATGACTGAATTTCCTTTAAAATATGTACAGTTCTTGAAGTCATAATCAGTGTTTCAGAAAAGAATGCACTTTCACTGAATTTATTAAATGCTCCTTAAATTTTTGTCCTTCTCAGAGCTATTTCTGAGTCCATATAAGAGTTTAGATATTATTGGAAAGACTGAAAAATTCTGATCTTGACGCTACCTCTTGCACAATTTAATAGAAAACACTAGGTCAGTAATTTTAACTTATGTTTTATACCTAATTTTGCCAAATTTCTCTAAATCTAGCAGCATGGATGAGTCATTTCACCACTCTGAATTTCTTCATCAGCAAAGTAGGAATTTTAAGTGTTACTGTGTCTGCCCCATAGGGTCCTTATGGAAATAAAGTTTAGTGTATGTGAGCAAAAGCTTTTAAATAGTTAAATGAATGAATGTCTTTGCAGTGTACAACAAAAAAATTTAGTATATCATTGGTGAGTGTGTAGGTTACTGTCTACCCCTTATCTGTGACCATATGTCCGTTTGTCCCAACTGCATAAAATATGTATTAAAATAAATATCCTCGTCGAATTTACTGGGAATGGTTTAATGTTAAATAAAAGCCAGAGTTCTTTTGTTAAAGTTTTTTAAAGTTGATAATCCAAATCCATGATCACTTAAATATAAGGCAAAGTTTATTCTGTCTTGTAAGGAAAAATTGTATGCATGTTGCTGTTTGATTCTTTCCAAGTTTATTTAAATGTGGGTTTTGAGTTATATTATGTTGGTGATTTCTCTTTCAGGAAAGATCTTCCTACCTGGAATACCAAAAAGTAATGAGGGAGATAGAACATTTGAGTCGTTTATATATTGCTTATCAGTTTTTGCTGGCTGAAGATACCAAAGAACGCTCAGCTGAGGAGTTTAAAGAAATGCACGATAAGTTGTAAAGCTTCAAGAAGAATTATCTGAGAATGATAAAAAAAAAAAGCTCTCAGTCATGAAATAGAAGATTTGGAAAAAAGAAAGATAAGGTTAGGCATATACATAAGAATGGATAATATACTCTGAAAAATCATATATTATAACTAGAATCTACTTGGCATTGTCTTCCATATTGATTTGTTAATCTTAAGTATGATAACAAAATAGCTTTTTAACAAGCTTACTTGTACTTCACGTAGAAATCATTGGATGCATTTGATTATAGGAAATTGGAGGAATACTACGCTCTTTAGAAGATGCTCTTGCAGAAGCTCAGCGAGTTAATACTAAATCTCAAAGTGCCTTTGATCTTAAGAAGAAAAATCTGGAAAGTGAAGAGAACAACGTAAAGAACTAGAGAAAAACATGGTCGAGGTAAGCATATAGAAATTTTATTTAATTTCACTAATATGCATTTTTCCATTCTGTCAGTATTTATTTAGTGCTATGGACCAAGTATAGTTGTTGGGCTGGGGAATATGGCAATGTCGACTATAACAAAAATGGACAAAACATTTTCTGGGTCTTCATTCCGTTGAGGGAAATGATGCGAAAATAACTGTGCAAGATGATTTGTTTTATAGTGATAACTGTGATGTAGAGGAAAAAATAAAGCAGGGTAGGGGATTAGGAATATTAGGGTACAGTTTGGAATTTTTAATTTAATAGATATTGAAGAGCTCATTGAGAGGGTGATTCTTCATTGATGACCATAGGAGGTAGAGGTCAGAGAACCATGTAGATAAATTGGGAGGCTTTGGGGACAAATTTCCAGCAGAAGAGCACTAATTGCTCCAGGTCCCTAAGGTATTAGAAAAATAAATAATTGGGCTGCTGGTACTAAGTATAGGGATACAGAAAGGTGATAGGTGTATGATAACACATTTTTGCAGTGTGTACAGTTTCTGAGTAAGAGACAAGGGATGTCACGAGTTGATCGAGAGGATGACATTTTTAATGTTTTAATTAGGCTGTTCTAACGTGTGTGTGGGGGTGTGTAGAAGAACTGGGGTGTAAGCAGTGAGGGAATGAGAGGATTCACCAGAGACAGTGGGGAGCAGAACAGGCAGATGTACTGAAATACACTGCGGAGGGGAGCAGTGGATGAAACAGGAGAAGTCTACTGTGCCATATATGCAGCTCCCTGACTGGGAATCAGACTTAGGCCATAGTGGTGATTGTGCTGAGACTTAACCCCTAGACCTCCAGGGAGGCCCTTCTGTTTTGAATACAAACTGTAGATAAAAGGAAGAAGCAGAGAATCCAGCTAGTAGTGGCTGCTAATCCAAGTGATAATCCTTGCATAAATTAGTGCAGTAGAAATGGATGTTTTAAAAGTAGTTGTGGTATTTTATGTGTAGTTTAAGAGTAGATCCAACAAGTGACATGTTGGTTGTTGAACAAGAAAGAGAAAAAGACTGAAGGATAACTCCAGATTTTTGTCTTTAACAGTGGGAAATACAGAGGTACTGTTAGCTAAGATGCAGAATAGGAAGAAGTACAGTGTGAATATAATAGGCTATAGGTGCTGTTAGATAGTTGAATATAGGAATTTTGAATGTAGGTTAGTAATACAAGACAAAATGCAAAGTTGGCATGCTCCAGGTCTAAGTGCTCAGGATTACTCCATATACATCATCTCTTCAATGGCTCATCCTGCCCTTTATCTCTTAATTTTTATTTGTTGATCTCATTCAAATCTTTAATTAGCTTAGACATCTTTCCTGAACTTTAGACTCATTTGTCCAACTACTAAATCAACACTTTTATTTGGACGATTAATAAGTCTAAAAGTTAACATAGCCAAAATAGAGCTCTTAAATTTTCCCCATTTATCCAAACCTACATGAGTTACTGAATTTTCATGTCAGTAAATGTCTACAACTGTTAACCTGATTGTTCAGTCCAGAAATCCTTGTCCTTCCATAATTTCCCTTTTTTTTTAATCTAATCCCATTTCTAATCCATGACAAAATTCTCTTGACGTTAAAAATGTATCTAGGATACAGCAACTTTTCATCACTGTCATCATGGCTAAACTGGTTCAGACCATCATCTTGAATGAGGCTTACTGTAGTAATTTCCTTCTTAGTTGTCTTTTACTCTTCATTGTTTTTTTTTTTTTTTTCTTGCTGCTCTATCTCTTCTTTCCAGAAGCTAAAATAAAAGTTGGGTCACATCACTCTTGTGCTTAAAATCCCTCAGTGATATTTTAGTTCTTTATTGTCCACATTTGACTATAACGTGAAATGAAAGTATTTCTAGTAGGTAAAATGTACATTTATCCTAAAAACAAGAGAATGAATCTCAAAATAGGAATAAAATATTTAAAGTTATGATGATTAAATTTTTTCGTTATTGTCATGCCCACTTCAAATTGCTATGAAACTTGATGACTTACAGATACATATAAGTAAATGAATTTTTTTTAATGTAATATTTCCAATCTGAAACTCTTAGGATTCTAAAACTTTAGCAGCAAAGGAAAAAGAGGTTAAAAAGATAACAGATGGATTGAGCGCCCTTCAAGAAGCAAACAATAAAGATGCTGAAGCTTTGGCTGCTGCACAGCAGCATTTTAATGCTGTTTCCGCTGGCCTCTCCAGTAATGAAGATGGAGCAGAAGCGACTCTTGCTGGTCAAATGATGGCCTGTAAAAATGACATAAGTAAAGCTCAAACAGAAGCTAAACAGGTAAAATTTAAGTACCGTGTGATTGCAGTTTTTTTCATCAGAGAACTTGCTTCATATTATATGCTTTTGTCAATTATAAAATAATGAAAATGATGGACTGTTTACTCAACCACTCTGTAACACCTTATACAATGAAATTCAAACATGCTGATACTAAATATTGGTGATGTTAATTTGTTAAGATGCTGCAAAACATAAAATACTTTTGTAGGTTAACTGAAACTGTAAGTACAATAGTTTAGTCTGTCTGCTGCATTGTATGGAACATTGACAATTAGTCAGTTTATTCTCATCCTTTGCCATCATAAAATTGATGTCTTAAGGCTTTAACAGGAAACCAAAAATGTCCTCTCCATTTCTGTGTCCACTACACCTAGTTTCTGAAACTACAACATCCTCCTTGGAAATATCTCTATCCCCATTCCAGTCTTTAGCTTCCCTAACTCTGATTTCTTAATCTTCAGAGTTTTTTCAGTTTATTGTGATGGCTTCAAATTTGTTCATTTAATGCAACTTAAAGTCTTATGAACACATAATTTGAGGGCAGAAAAGTGTGTGTGCATGCGTACAGAATTATTTATTTATTTATTTATTTATTTAACTTTTTATTTTTTTTTATTTTTTTTTAAATTAATAAATTTTATTTTTATATTTATTTGTTTTTTTAAGATTTATTTATACAAGCACTGGGTACAGTCAGAAGCACAGGAGGGTGAGAGAATTCACCAGAGCCAGAGCGGGGAACAGAACAGGCAGAGTGAAGAACTACACTGCTGAGGGGAGCAGCAGGCGGCAGGAGAGGTCTGCGCGCCATGTGGGACCCTCGCCTGGTGGCCGGGGATCGAACCGGCACTGCAGAGGCTGCGGGCAGCTTCGCAACCCAGCGCTCAACCGCTGCGCCACCAGGGAGGCCCACGTACAGAATTATTTTTAAGGAGCACTCATCATTAAAAAAAAAAATACACCTATGTTTTTGTATATTAATCCCATTCAAAGTTTTATATATTTGCAACATTTTTTTTCAAAAATAGTGCTTACAAAAACATATCAATAGCAGAATACTTCAAAGTTTGGTCAGTTATTCTGTTAACTAATTTTATGTGGGGAAAAACCCACTACTGTTCAGTTTCAGAGGATACGCCCTCCTAGCCTTCTTGGTCTCAGAAAACTAGCTCATGGTTTTAAGGAATAGTGCTCAATTATATAAACCTAAGACTCCTGAAATTTCAGAACTTCTAGCAGAATTTTAAATATCAGACCATAGCAGTTAAATTTCTGTCAGTTTCACTTTCCTACATAATTTTATTTCTCATTGCTCAATAAAGCGTCTCCTCTTCTCAGTTATATAACACCCAAATAGATACAAATACAAATGTGCATACCTCAGTGCAAAGGAAGACAAGTAGACTTGTGGATTTTGAGCTTTTTGTTGTGGTTTTAACTGGCTAATGAGTTATTTTTAATATAATTTTTGAACTCTTGTTATTCTTACAAGTATTAAAAATATAGACTTAAATTGAAAATTATTTAATGACTTATGTTAATTAAGCATGTATTGGTTTTGTGCGTGTTTTTTTAGGAGAAAATACTGGGAAATGATTGCTATGTTGAAATACTAATCCAAATGACCTAACAGTTACATTTTCAAGACTGATGTCTTTTAATTTAACCAATCTGAGTCTGGCTAGTACTGTCTACCTCTTATGTAGTTTGTTACATCTTTCTATTACAGGCTCAGATGAAGTTGAAACATGCCCAACAAGAATTAAAGACTAAACAAGCTGAAGTAAAGAAGATGGATAGTGGCTATAAGAAGGATCAAGATGCTTTAGAGGCAGTGAGGAAACTTAAAGACAAACTCGAAGCTGAAATGAAAAAGCTAAATTATGAAGGTTTGCCTTTAAAAACATGTAGTAAATCATTATAAGGAAGTGATTGTTGACAGAAACTAAGTTTAAGGAAATAGCAAGTAGGAAAAAATTTTTACCCTATTAATGGGTGTTAGTGTAATAACTATTCGTAAATAGTCCCCAAAATATCTAGGTATAAAACAGCACTTGGAATTTTTGAAATATCAGTACTGAGATATTAATGTTTATTCAATACACTTGATGACTCAGAAATAATAGTTGTATATTTCTATAGTAGCATTCAGTTCATGTGTTGTTTCTTGGAATGAAAATTGTGTTATTGAAAATAATGTCTACTTGACACTTGATAGGAATTTGTTAAGTATGCTTTTTATTTAGTACTTATCAGAAATTATTTTGCTACCAAAAATATTTTTGAAATAGAGGTTTCTAGTATTTCCTTAGATCAGAATAGTTGAATTTTTTTAAAACTTCATTTCAATTTACTTATGATTTACTGTTCAGAAAACAAGGAGGAAAACCTTTTGGAAAGGCGCAGGCGGTTGTCTCGTGATATCAGTAGATTGAAGGAAACATACGAAGCTCTCTTGGCCAGATTTCCCAACCTTCGATTTGCATACAGGTAACAGATTTAAACCTTAAATTTTAACATAGTAATAACCAAGATAAACTTTTAGTTGGAAGACAATCTGGAGATGTTATTAATGTTAAGATATTTGTATGAGAATTACTGTTTTTCAAAAAACTGCTCTTCCTTAGTATGAGCTGTTTCAGATGTTGAATGGGAAAATTATTGCGTAATAAAATGGCTACCAATTTAATCTCAATCCAGTTTTTTTTAATTTTTTTTTTAAATTTTTAAAGATTTATTTTTATTTATTTATACAAGCACTGGGTACAGTCAGAAGCGCGGGAGGGTGAGAGAATTCACCAGAGCCAGAGCGGGGAGCAGAGCAGGCAGAAGGATCGAAGTATACTGCTGAGGGGAGCAGCGGGCGGCAGGAAAGGTCTGCGCGCCATGTGGGACCCTCCTCCGGAGCCGGGGAGCAGCCGGGGATTGAACCAGCGCTGCAGAGGCTGCGGGCAGCTTCGCAACCCAGCGCTCAACTGCTGCGCCACCGAGGAGGCCTTCAACCAGTTTCTTAAAAGTTATTTTATCAATGTTAAATATTAACATTTTAAAAACTTTATGAATTTTTTCCATGGAAAATTTATAGCAATGTATGTATGAATGACTATAGCAATGTATGTATTCTATGTATGACTAAAAACATTAAAATTATTTATTACATTAAAAACAATATACTGGGGAACTTTTGATTGATTTAAAGCAATAACTGACTAGTCATCTGGAACATTCAGTTTTTAAGACAACATGCTTCACCTGTGTTCATGTCAATTAAATATGTTTTCAGAAAAGCTCTTGACTAATAAAGGACAACTTTTTCTATTTTTTCTAGCTAAAGATTGATTTTTGTCAACTTTTCTATTTTAGGGATCCAGAGAAGAACTGGAATAGAAATTGTGTGAAAGGACTGGTAGCTTCCCTGATAAGTGTGAAAGACACTTCTGCAACCACAGCTTTAGAATTGGTAGCAGGGGAGCGGCTTTACAATGTTGTAGTAGATACAGAGGTAAATACAGAGAATTTGTAATTGTTATTTAGATTGAAATATCATGTACTGCTAGAAGAATTGGGTACTTTCTTGATGTTTTAAGTTTCTCCCAAGGTTGCTTATTTTTACATGCTATTCACTCATTTACTTTCTGATTTTATTATTGATTATATTTACTTGTGTTCCAGTGGTGATGTCATGCTTAATTAGGAGTTTTGAATGCATATTATCAATCCTGGGCATTTGGTTGTTACGCATGGAAGGCAATAAAAATTTGATTATGAATTCCTAAACAATCACTCCTTCCATTTGGATATTTTCTGTCATCAATAATTTTTTTTTTCAAATGAACATTGTTTTAGGTTACTGGAAAAAAACTACTAGAAAAAGGGGAATTGAAGCGTCGATATACTATAATTCCACTCAATAAAATTTCAGCCAGATGTATTGCTCCAGAAACTCTGAGAGTTGCTCAGAATCTTGTAAGTCTTTATTTTTTTCTGCATCTTTATTAGAGGACATTAATTAAGAATAGGGGAGTAATCATGTAGAATCAAAAAATACTGTGTTACCATGCTTTAAAAAATTGTAACAAAATAGAGTTGGTTTTTATTCAGTTAGATGGAAAGTAAAGATAAATGTCAGACTAGAATTCTTCTTGGTATTTCAGTGTGTAATAAATCTTAAGTCAAACCATCTGACTATCAACTGATATTAAACATGAAATTTCTGATTTCTGAAATAGCTAAAGTTATAGAGCTTAAATACCAGAATTCTCCATGTTTTTGTTTCATGTCAGGCAGCTTTACACTGCCCACAGGGGCAACAATTACGGAAAATATCCATCAGTTTTATAGTCACGAAGCCGATCACTAGGATATCCAGTCAGCTGCTGAGGTAGATCTAAAGTGGCATGCCTACTAGTTAAAAAAAAAAAAAAAAAGATAGATGAGTACAGAAGGTAGATATAAAGGACTAGTATCGCTGTGTGGTATTGGTTAAAAACATAAAGCCAATCATAATGTCCAGCAGCACTATCAGTTTGTTAATGGCACAGGCATTCCAGGTGTGTAAATATAAAGTGCAATTCTATGAAACTGATAAATACATTTGTAATTAAGATACTAAAAATATAGTACACTTGCTGAAATTGAGAAATCTTTAATGAAATAATCTCAAAATCCAGTTGTGTCCATAATATCAAAAGGAGGATAAGTACAGAGTAAGTGAAAGGTGGAATTTGGGTTAGTATTTCCTTTGCTTTGAAAAATCACCTTTGGGTGGTCTCCAAAACTTAGAAAGGCACTTCAGCCTTGGGTGAAGTCCTGGCCTCTAAGTAAATTGGAATCTCAAATAACAACAAAAATAGTTCCACTTAGATCTCTTAACCAGATTTAGATAATGGTAACTGTTCTGTCAAACAAATGCTGAACATACCTTACCCAGTGCTACTTTCATTGTGATTTCTGCTGCTGCTCTTAAACTCCATAAAGGATAGTGATACAAAGTTCTTAAGAACAAGTTTTTCTAAAAAGAACAAGTTGTTCTGCTCATCTTAGTTAAAAAGGAAAAAGGGCAGAGACAGACATTATTACCAGGATAAGAGAGTTGTATCAAAACAAAGGGATGAGGGGCTAAAAAATTTTTAAGGGGAGCATTTTTTGCAATTGTGTTAACTCGATCCATTGCTGTGCTTTAATTAAAGTAGTATGCAACTAGTCCATTTTTAATTCAGAAACTTGGTAGTGGCTCCTACTTAGTAGAAATTCTTGTAATGCTTGGTACTTTCATTGTGTTTTACTTACTAGTAGATCTTTCAGTGTTTAAACATGAAATTTTTTCCCCTAAACTATTGAATTTTCTGTTAGTATTTTTTAAATTTCAAAAGTAATACAGTACTAAATATAGATTATTTTAATTTTTATTTTAATTCTTTATGGTTTATAAATATATTTGAAGGGAGAGGACAAGTATAAACTGTGACATAATCTATTTCCTTACAGGTTGGCCCTAACAATGTTCATGTGGCTCTATCCCTGGTTGACTACAAACCAGAACTTCAGAAAGCAATGGAATTTGTCTTTGGAACAACATTTGTTTGTGACAGTATGGACAATGCAAAAAAAGTGGCTTTTGATAAAAGGATAATGACTAGAACTGTAACTCTAGGAGGTGACATATTTGATCCTCATGGGACATTAAGTGGAGGTAGGTTTTATATTATTTTGTCCTTGTAATCCTGTGTGGGCAATAGGATGGGCGGGGGGCTTTCTTTTTCATTTTATTATTTTAAGGAGAATAGTGGAGTTGGTGGTTTAGTCCTAATCTTTGGTTAGAACCAGGACTAAAACCCAGGTTTTATGCTTACAAGCAAATAATCTAATTCCAGTATCTTGATGGAAATCTAAGGATTGAATTTATACTTTAAATACTTACCACATGACACATAATTAATATTGATAATCATACAGTGTCTTTTTATACCTCAAGGAATTCAGTCTAGTAAAAAATCCTGTTTCTTTTTTATTTTATCTTTATTTTTAATTATGCATACAATAATTGGGGAGTAGGCCAAGTTGCGGGGGATGGTAATGAGAGGATTCAGCAGGGACTAAGTAGGGAGCAGAACAGGTGGACCTACTGAAATACACTGTTAAGGGGAGCAGCGGGCAAGAGAGGAGAGGTCTGCTACACCATTTGGGATAGCTCTCTGGCCAGGAATCAGACTCATGTCACATGGCTGGTGATAGCTTGATAGTGCTGAGAATTCACCCCGCTCCACCAGGGAGGCCCTGTTTCTCTTATTCATCTCAAATGAAAGTATACTGTTTATTTTCTCTTGTTTTCTGTCCTATCAGGATAGTTTAGTCACTGGAGAATTCAAGTCTTTATTAAGTACATATTTAGTGTAACTACCCACTTTTTTTTTTAAGATTTTATTTTTGCATAGAAGAACTGGGGTGAAGGTCAGAGGTGCGTGGGCTGAGAGGATTCACCCCAGAGTAGGGAGCAGAGCAAGTTGATTTACTGTAATACACTGCTAAGGGCATCAGCGGGTGAGGCAGAAGAGGTCTTTCTGCACTATATGTGGGTTAGCTCCATGGCTAGGGATCATACTCTGGGCCATCAGAGTCAAAGAGCTGAGACTTAACCCCTATGCCACCAGGGAGGTCCCAACTACCCAGTTCTATAGGAAACACGTTAACTTCTAAATTGTGTTTATGCCACTCCTGTCAAAAGTTAAAAAAACAAAACACAAAACAAATCTTCCCTTAAGGTGGTGCTTTAGAAAGGAATTCTTAGTAGTTGATCATATTTTTCTTTTTTAAAGATTTATTTTTTTTCATTTATGCATACAAGAACTGGGGAGTAGGTCAGAGGCATGGGGGTGGAGGGGCTGGGGAGGGAGGGATGAGAGGATTCACTAGAGATCGTGGAGCAGAACAGGCCTATCTACTGAAATACACTGCTGAGGGGAACTGCGGGTAAGACCGGGGAGGTCTGCTGTGCCATGTGGGTTAGTTCCCTGACTGGGAATTGAACTCATGCTATAGTGGCTTAGCTTAAAAGTACTGAGACTTAACCCTTGTGCCACTAGGAAGGCCGGATCATATTTTTCTTGTTCCAATATTTGTCAAATTGTTTCCAGGTCTTTGTCAAGTGATCATGTAATAATAACAAACACTGACTAGTATTATGTTCCAGGCAGTATTGTAAGGCTGTTGGTGCTAGCCACATGTGGTTCTTTACATTTTACATTTTTAGTAAACTAAAAATCATTACTTTAGCTATACTGGTCACATTTCGAGGGCTCATTAATCACGGTGGTTAATAGGTAACTGGATAATAGTCATAAGGGACATGTCTCTCATTCTATAAAGCCTTATTCTAAAGACTTCAGATAATTAACTCTTTGAATCTTTGTAACAAATAAGAAGTAGACATATTACTATAAAAAATGCAGTTGTAGGAATTAAGATACAGATTGGTTAAGTAACTTACTAGTAACTGACAAAACTCAGAATTTCAATTTAGATAGTATGATTTCAGAGTTTGTACTTTTAACCAGTAGGCTATATAGTGCCTCTTGAGATATCAAGTGACTCAGTGTGTTTATTTTTTTTTAATCGAGATGTAATGGACAAATAACATTAGTTTCAGGTATACAGCATAATTTAGATACTTGTATATATTGCAAAATTATAGAAGTATTAAATCTGTCATCTTTTTGTTACATTCCGTTATATTCTTTGTGCTAACAGTTTAAGTATGACTGTTCTACAACTCTCAAATATACAACACGGTTTTATTAATCATAGTATTCCCATACTGTGTACATTATATCCCAGTGACATTTTATTTATTTATTTTTAAAGATTTCATTTATACAAGAACCGGGGTACAGGCCAGATTCGCGGGAGGAGGAGAGGATTCATCAGAGACAGAGCAGGGAACAGAACAGGCAGACTGACGAAATACACTGCAGAGGGGAGCAGCGGGCACGACAGGCGAGGTCTGCTGCGCCATGTGGGACCGTCGCCAGCCGGCCGGGATAGAACCGGGCGCTGCAGAGGTTGCGGACAGCTTCATAATGCTGTGCTCAACCACCTGCACCACCAGGGGAGGCCCGTGACATTTATTTTATAACTACAAGTTTATATCTTTGGACAACCTTTACCATTTTTTCACCAGCCACCTCTGGCAACCACCAATCTGTTCTTGTCTGTGAGGTTGCTTGGTTGGTGTGTTTTTGTTCTCTTTCAGCCCTCACACATATAAATGAGATCACATAGTATTTCTCTTTTCTTTGACTTATTTCACTTACAATAATGAGTGCCTTTGCTGTCCATCCATGTTGTCACAAAAAAGCCAGGTTTCTTTTTTTATGACAAGATAATGTTCCATTTTGCCTCTGTATGCGGGCATACCACATTGTCTTTATGCATTCATCCATCACTGGGCACTTAGGTTCTTGCCTATCTTGGCTATTGTGAATTATGATACAATGGGCAGAGGGTTGCAGATCTCTTGAGTTAGTGTTTTCAATTTCTTCAGATAAATAACTAGATTGTTTTCTTTAGATAAATAACTGGAAGTGGAGTTGGTAGATTATATGATAATTGTTTTTAACTTTTGAGAGATACCTCCATAGTCTTCCGTAGAGTCCACACTAATTTATATTCCCACCAGTGTTGGACAGAAGTTCCTTTTTTGCCTCATCCTCTAGCACTTGTTATTTTATTTTAAAGATTTATTTATTTATGCTACAAGAACCAGGGTATGGGTCAGAGGTGTGGAGGGTGAGAAGATTGACCAGAGACAGAGTGGGGAACAGAACAGGCAGATTGACTGAAATACACTGCTGAGGGGAGCAGTGGTTGAGACAGGAAAGGTCTGCTGCGCCATGTGGGTAGCTCCCTGGCTGGGGATCAAACTTGTGCTGCAGTGGCTGCAGATAGCTTCATAGCAAGGGGTTCTTAACCCCTTGCGCCACCAGGGAGGCCCTAGCAACTTGTTATTTCTAGTCTTTTTGAGAAAAGCCATTCTAGTAGCTGAGAGGTAATATTTCAGTGTAGTTTTGATTTGCATTTCTCTGGCAATTAGTGATGTTGAGCCACCTTTTCATGTATACCTGTTAGCCATCTTTATGTCATCTTTGGAAAAATAGTCTATTCATATCTGCCCGTCTTTAAATCAGATTGGGTTTTTTTGCTGTTGAGTTATATGAGTTCTTTGTGTGTTTTGGATATTGATCCATTATCAGATAGGATTTGCAAATATTTTCTCCCATTTTATAGGCTGCCTTTTCAATATTGAGTTTTCTTTGAAGAAGCTTTTTTAGTTTGATGTAGACCCACTTTGTATTAGATCCAAAAAAATCACCAAAACCAGTGTCAAGGAACTTTTACCAATTATGTTTCTTCTAGGAGTTTTATGGTGTCAGTTCTTACATTTAAGCCTTTACGCCAATTTGAGTTAATTGCTGTGTGTGGTGTAAGAGAGTGGTCAAGTTTCATTCTTTTGACTCTGACTGTCCAATTTTCCCAATACCATTTACTTAAGAAACTGCTCTTTCTCCATTGTATATGGCTCCATTCTGGGCTTTCTCTTCTGTTCCATTGATCTGTGCTTTTATGACAATGCTGTACTGTCTTGATTACTACAGCTTGGTAATATAGTTTGAAATTAGGGACTATGATACTTCCAGCTTTGTCTTTCCCCAACTTTGCTTTGACTATGGGGTCTTATGGTTCCATATAATTTTTTTGATTATTTGCTCCCTTTCTGTGAAAAGTGCTATCAGAATTTTGATGAGAATTGCATTGGATTGTATTGCTTTGGATCTAAATTGCTTTGGGTGTATGGACAGTTTACAATATGAATTTTTCTAATTAATAAGCATGTAATACCTACATTTATTTGTTTTCAGTTTTTTTCATAAATGTCTTATAGTTTGGAGCATACAGGTCTTTGAACACTTTGGTTAAGTTTATTCCTAGGTATTCTTTTTGATACAGTTGTAAGAGGGAGTGTTTACTTAATTTCTTTTTCGGTTGATTGGTATTGAAATTTATTGGTATTTTGGAGCTGTTGGTTTCAGAGAGTGGGGTCCTTGGTTTAACTCTGGGAAGTTTTACCAGCATTCCCCTTTCAGTAGCACCAGTGAGTTTTCCAGGCGAGTTTCTCCATGACACAGGGGTGTTAGTTATATCCAGAAGGGCAAGTTTATTATAAAGGGGGAAAAAGAATAAAGAATGGTTACACAGACACAGGGGCAGAAAGAGCTGCCCCTGAAAGGGACAGGTTTGCTAAAACAGAGACCTGCATAGTCACAGGCGAGCAGCCGTGGGGAGGAGAGCTGCCTCTAATCCTTTGCAAAGGGAGGAGGTCAGTGACGAGAAACACTGGCATGGTCAGAGGTGGGCAGGAGAGCTGCTGCAGGGAGAATGATGTCACAAGGAACACCTGCATAGGCACAGGCTGGCAGATGGGCTGCTGCCTCATGCCAGTACAGAAATTGCACGGACAAAGTATTCTTTTTGGTAGGGGCTCATTCCTTTGTGGAGTTGTTAACTTTCATTAGCCTAACTACTTCTAGGGTGTGGCTGGGTTGATTTCTAAGGACCAATGATTTTCTACAATGGCCCTCAAATCTCCATATCCCCACCTCTGGTTTGCACTGGTGATATTTTGTATAGCTGTCTGATACTTGCTGTAGCAGTTGGCACCTAAGGAATATTCATTTTGATAGCTGTTTTAATGACTATGTTAACCACCTCTACCTCTACCTCCAGCTACCAGCATTGTGTGAGCCTGGTCTCTCTTCTTGTGGTGCCTTCTTTCCAACCTTTCTACTGTTAACCTCCATCAGTATTAGTCTGTAGCAATGCAACCAGTTTTATGTATATTGATTTTTGTATACTGCAGCTTTACTGAATTCATTTATTAGTCTAATAGTTAATTGGTGGAGTCTTTTAGGGGTTTTATAATATGTAATCTGCAGATAGTGACATTTTTCATTTCTTGTAATTTGTATGCCTTTCATTTCTTTTTCTTGCCTAATTAGTCTGACTGGACTTCCATTACTAAGATGAGTAAAAGTGGCGAAAGTGGTCATCCTTGTCTTAGTCCTGATCTTAAAGGAAAAGCGCTCTTCTTGAGTATGGTGTTGTCTGTGTGTTTGTCATATGTGGTCTTCATTATGTCGAGGTGTGTTCTCTCTGTACTTATTTTGATAAGTTTTTTTAAAACTTTTTTTAAAAAAATATTTTATTTATGCATAGAAGAACTGGGGTGTAGACCAGAGGTTCTGAGGAGGGGAGCGTGAGAGGATGCACCAGAGACAGAGTAGGGAGCAGAACAGGTGGATTTACTGAAATACCCTACTAAGGGGAGCAGTGGGCGAGACAGGAGAGGTCTGCTGCGCCAAATGTGGGTTAGCTCCCTGGCTGGGGATGGAACTCCAGGCTGAGGCAGTGATAGCACTGAGACTTTAACCCCCATTCCACTAAGGAGGCCCTGATGAGAGAGTTTTTTGGTCATAAATGTGTGTTGAAATTTGTCAATTTTTTTTTTTTGTGCAGTTAGTAAGATGATTGTGATTTTTATCTTGTGTTTTTTTTTAATGCGGTTGTCACACCGATTTGTGAATGTTGAAGTATCTTTGTATCCTGGAATAAGTACACTTGATCATGGTGTATGATCCTTTATTTCAGTTTGTTAATATGTTGAGGATTTTTGTATCTCATCAGGAATATTGACCTGTGTGCAGAATGCTGGTCAAGTTCCAGCAACAGTGTTAATAGCTATAGGGTTACAGCTTGTATGTCACAGAAGTGATACAGCTCTCATGTCTTAGGAGTGTTACAGCTCTTGCTTTACAGCTCAGTATTACAGTAAAAAGCTTCACAACTGTAGTTAGGAGGGGGAGAAGTATGTATACAGATTCAAAGATTCACTGTTACATCGGCAAAAAGGGAAAGGGTAAAGTCAGTTTATTCCAAGTAGGTTTCAGTCATTGCAGTTCTGATTAACAGAAAGTTTGTCAGTGGTGATTGGCTGAATTTCAATTCTGGGTGAGACTTGTTCCAGTGTGGTTTCATTTTCTTTTTGACTTTAGACAGGTCTGCACATGCCCCAACACCCCTAGCCACCTCAGCATGCCTGGGACCTGAACTTTCAGTAGCCTCGCATCACTGGTTTTTTTCTCAGGATCTTTCCATGTTTTTTTTAACTCATAATCTATAATTGTAATATGTGATGTCCTTGTCTGGTTTTGGTATCAGGGGATTGGTGGGCTGGTAAAAACAAATTTGGAAGTAGTTCCTCCTCTATTTTTTTTGAAGTTTGAGAAGGATTAGTGTTCATAATTAATTGCATATCGGTACAACTTACTAATGTAGCTGATTGGTCCTGGACTTTTGTTGGGAGGTTTTAAATTGGTTTTCTCCTTATTAGTAACTGGTGGGTGCAGATTTTCTATTTGTTCATGATTCAGTCCTGATAAGCTATATTTATCAATGTATTCTAGGTTGTTTAATTTGTTGACAATCGTTGTAGTAGTTTCTTAAGTCCCACCCCTCAGCCCCCCCAGCATCAGGAAAATACCTTTCTGATTTTACTTTTTTGAGTCCTTTTTTTTCTTGGTAAGTGTAAAGATTTTGTCTTTTCAAAGATACCAGCTTTTATTTTCAGTGATTTTTTTTTTCTATTTCTCTAGACTTTCATTTATTTCTGCTGTGATCCTTCTTTTCTTCTACCTTTGAGCTTCATTTGTTCTTTTCTATACAAGCACTGGGTACAGTCAGAAGCGCGGGAGGGTGAGAGAATTCACCAGAACCAGAGCGGAGAGCAGAGCAGGCAGAATGACGAAATACACTGCTGAGGGGAGCAGCGGGCGGCAGGGGAGGTCTGCACGCTGAGTGGGACCCTCTCTTGGCGGTCGGGGATCCAACCGGCGCTGCAGAGGCTGTAGGCAGCTTCGCAACCCAGCGCTCAACCACTGCGCCACTGGGAAGGCCCTTCATTTGTTCTTTTCTTATTCTTGAGGTGTACTGTTAGGTTGTTAACTATTGTTTTCTTGGCCTAGAAAGACATTAAGTAAACAAAAGGAATCTCATGATCAAGTTCTCCACTACACAACTTAAGGTGGCTAGTATTGTAAAATTTTTTTCTGTAAATATCAAATGAGTAGGTGTTTATTTCACTGATTTTGATACTTTCAAAATCTGTACTTAGAGGGGCAGCAAATATGTCACTGTATCTTATTAATCTATCATTAAACCTATAACATTTTCTTGACAGCATAACACCTCTGCTTTTAATTAACTTGCCAGACGATTGTGGTAACAAAAAGCTCCCACATTTTGCGCATCATTACCGTAGGTCAGTTGTATCTAGTTCAGGTTATTCTCTTTCTGGAACCCATGATAAAGTAGAGCTAGACCTTATCTTAAATCTGATTTCCTTGGATTATGAATGGAGAGATACTTTTTATTTTTTAAAGATTTATTTATTTATGCACACAAGAGCTGGGGTGTAGGGCAGAGGTGTGTGTGGGGGGTGGGGGTGAGAGGATTCACCAGAGACATAGTGGTGAGCAGAACAGGTGGATCTACTGAAAGACTGCTGAGGGGAGCAGAGAGCAAGACAGGAGATACATTGCTGCACTATGTGATTACCTCCCTGGCTGCTAGCTTCATAGGGCTGAGACTTAACCCCTTATGCCACCAAGGAGGCCTGAAAGATACCTTTTTAAAGTTTCTTTTCAGAAGAGGTATTTTTCCATTTTACTGGCCAGAGTGAATTAACCTGGCTAAGTCCAGGGTTAGTAGTGAGAAAAATGAGACCTAGGAGGGATGGACCCGGTAGACATAGATGGTGTTTGTATTTCTTTTTTTATTTATTTATTTTTTATAGAGGCATGTTTTATTTATGTTTCTTTGTTTGTTTGGTTGGTTATACATGCACTGGGTACAGTCAGAAGCGCGTGGGGATGAGAGAATTCACCAGAGCCAGAGCGGGGAGCAGAGCAGGCAGAAGGACGGAAGTACACTGCTGAGGGGAGCAGCGGGAGGCAGGAGAGGTCTGCGCGCCATGTGGGACCCTCCTCCGAGCAGCCGGGGATCGAACTGGCGTCGCAGAGGCCGCGGGCAGCTTCGCAACCCAGCGCTCAACCGCTGCGCCACCGTGGGGGCCCTGTTTGTATTTCTTAAGGTTCAAGTGAGAAACCCTGTGGCTTTAGTAACATCATTGTAAAAGATTCAGTGCTGAATTAAAGTATAATTCTGTGATAACTTTTATTGTTTACTAAATAATTTAGTAACTTAATGTTTAAGGCCTGTTTGAATTTCTTACCATCAGGTGCTCGATCTCAGGCAGCTTCTATTTTAACCAAGTTTCAAGAACTCAAAGAAGTTCAAGATGAGCTGAGAAGCAAGGAGAATGAACTACAGTCTCTAGAAGAGGAATTAGCAGGTCTTAAAAACACTGCAGAGAGGTAAGACTTCTTTCTGCTGATTGTAGATTTTTGGGAGGGAGGAGGAGTGGAGACAAAAGTTTGCACAATAGGAAATGAAGGAACATTTACTTCTAAAGAAATACAACATACGACTTTCATGATATGCTTGGCTTTATTTAGAGTATTTGAAAACATTGCCTTGGTAATCTGTTTATCACATATCTTTTTTTTTTCCTGATTTAAGCAAAAGAATAAAATCAGCCAAATAGTCTCCTTTCCCTCCTGAGATTATACTCGCAACATGCTGCGATTCATGGGGAATCCCTTAGATAGGGTATCAGAGGATACTTGAGTTCTTGATTTGAAAGGATGTGATGCAATGTAACATCAATCAGGCGTCTACATTTAGCAGCATAATAATTGATCAGTTCTCTATAGGAGGTTAAAAAAAAAGAATTCTCGGGCCAGAAAGTCATTGATAAAATTGTTTCCTTACATGTCTTCTGTGGGGGGTATGAATATATATGTATGTATACCTTTCAACAGTAGTTCTGTTTTCATATTTAACTTTTTTCAAATTGGGATATGCTGTTTAACTTTTATTATGTAACATTATTCACTATTGGATACTTACAGAGGTGCTGTAAATACAGCAGTGACTCAGACATTCATCATCTCTTTCATAGGGTTAGGAGGAACAGACAAAAGTTAAATTGGTAAAGCATGTTAAATAATGCTAAGATCTAAAAAGATAAAACAGTAGGAGATAATGAATTACCCAGGGCAGGAGATGGAGAATTTCAGATTGGCTGGTCAGGGAAAGCTCACTGAGAAGACAGCTGTTGAATAAACACTTAAAAGTTTTGAGTGAATTAACCATGTGGTTATCCTGGAGGAAAGTTGCACTTGCTTTAAAAGCTTCAGGAGTATAAATGCCATACCTATACATTATTTAGAAGTTTAATCTTAATTGTTTTTCATTCCCTCTGAAGATGGTAAATGGAAATTGAGATAATAAAATGTTTGGTTTCAGTTTTCAGCATTATGGTACTAAGTCACTGTAAAAGAAAATTAAATGGAAAATTTTAATACATTTTTAGCATTCTTATTAATTGTGGAATTTAGGTCAAAGGAAACAGATTTTGAACACCGGAAGGGTCAACTAAAGGCATTCTTCTATGGACCATATTAAGATAATGTGTTATATTGTTTTTCAAAGTTCTATGCTCCACATTTTAAAACAAATTTAAAACTAATTTTAACTTCATTTTTCATTGCTGTCAAGTAGTCTCAGGTAATAACACTTAAAGGAGTATTTGTTTTCTAAATTGCTTGTTTTTTGCTTTTCCCCTTAAATTATGAACACACTACCTTGTGAATTTATAACTTAAAATTTCACTTCACCTGAATTAGCTCAAGAATTTCCAAAAATATGACTAAATACTTCCCATGGATCTGGGTCATTTAGTGTTGCTTATCATAGTGACCAAATCAGACTTCATTTTAATTGATGCCCCTGAAATGAGTCATCAAAACTACTTATTACCAGTAATAGCTTCTATTGTGAGTCTGTTATAGTTAAGATTCTGTAGTTTGAATGACTCAAACATCTGAAATGTTGTCATTTATAATAAACCTCTCAGATACCGCCAACTGAAGCAGCAATGGGAGATGAAAACTGAGGAGGCAGATTTATTACAAACGAAGCTCCAGCAAAGCTCTTATCACAAGCAACAAGAAGAATTAGATGCTCTTAAAAAAATTATTGGTAAGATAAAAACAGTCTGTGTTTAATCTGTTTCTGCTGATGTCCTTACGTATGGTATTACAAAAACCTCATATATTCATTTGAGTTATTTAATTCTTAGTACAAATTATGAGAGTTCTGCCCATTGTACCACTATACAGCAGATCTAGAATGTTTGTTCAACGTTGTTTCATTGTAATGTTGAGGGAAAAACCCAGCAAGAAGTTGACAAAAGGACATTGAGAACATGCCTTTATCGACTTCCTTTCAAGATGCAGTTTCCAAGAATCTAGCATGATGTTTTGCATTTTACCAATGGCATATGAAAAGTCTCATTCTCCTAAATCTTTTCCTTTCCAGACTTAAAATTCTCTCCAATCTTATGGTTGTGAAAAAACAGCTTTTTAGCTTTTTAATTTGCATTTCCCCGGTTGCTGTCGAAGTGTGGGGTCTATTTTTTTTTTTTTTTTTTTTTTTAAATAGAGGCATGTTTTATTTATTTATTTATTTACTTGTTTGTTTTGTTTATACATGCACTGGGTACAGTCAGAAGCACAGGAGGGTGAGAGAATTCACCAGAGCGGGGAGCAGAGCAGGCAGAAGGAACGAAGTACACTGCTGAGGGGAGCAGCGGGAGGCAGGAGAGGTCTGCGCGCCATGTGGGACCCTCCTCCGGTGGCCGGGGAGCAGCCGGGGATCGAACCGGCACCGCAGAGGCTGCGGGCAGCTTCGCAACCCAGCGCTCAACCGCTGCGCCACCGGGGAGGCCCCTGTGGGGTCTATTTTTATAGTTTCATGGAACCTTTCAAGTTTCTCTTTCAGTGAATTTTCCATTTGTTTCTTTTACCATGATTTTCTTGAGTTACTCATTTTGTTTCCATTGTTTTTATGTAAGAGTTGGTGTATCTTACAGGTTATTAGCCTAAAATTTTTGTTCCACAATGAAAAGTAGCATAGGAACGTGGACAGTCATGACTTTCAGGATTATATTTGTTTCTAGATGCTAACACTAACATGCTTGTTCTTATTTTCTTTGTGATTTTAGAGAACTTTTCCTGTGCTTCTTCCTAAAATACATTCTCAGTATTTCTCTAATAAGGGGGTTCTCTGAATAGAAATAAATAAGAACACAAAGTAAACTTGTTTATGAAATTACTTGTAAGCTTTTTGGCAGCTAAAATAATGAAATAATGCATTAGTTGTTATACTCAATTCTGGTTTAGGAAACTGCAGGTATATTGAAAAATGAGTTGTCATCCTTTTAATAAGTTATGGCTAAAGTTACCTTGTTAATTTCTTGACAGATTTTTAGGTAATTTATGTATGGCTCTGTGTGTCAGCATACCATTTCCAGGATAAAGTTGGAGTCTTTGACTTTTAAAGGCATTTTACTATTAAAAATTGAATTTATAAGCCATTATCTATAGTCACATTTGCCTACCTTGTGATGCAGAGGAAAGTGAGGAGACATTGAAAAACACCAAAGAAATTCAAAAAAAGGCAGAAGAAAAATACGAAGTATTGGAGAATAAAATGAAAAATGCAGAAGCTGAGAGAGAGAAAGAACTAAAAGATGCTCAGAAAAAGCTTGATTGTGCCAAAACAAAAGCAGATGCTTCTAGCAAGAAAATGAAAGAAAAGCAACAGGTAAATAACCATTTTTGAAATGGAACCAGTCTTTTAACATCAACATAATACTGAGGGTGATAAAGCATCATTGGTTGACCTTATTTATTATAGAAACTAAAAACAAAGTTTGCTTCTTGTAAGGTGCATAATTTATTTCTTAAATTTTAAAATACACTCTTGTCTGAGAGCCCTGTAATTGGGTGTGGTAATTGTGAGTATGGGTGGCACTGACTTGCTAATACTATAGAAAAAGCAAAGCTGCCTTTGGCAAATGTTTCCTTCTAGTAGACCAAAGCTTTAGGTCATGCAGTGTAGTTAGGTCCATATCAGCACTGACATTTCTATTTAATATGTGAATGTATGTGGTAAAAGAATGACGTAAGAAAAAGCATGTTATATTGGCAGAATGCTATCTAATTGTAATCTGACTATAGCTGATATCTTTTAAACAGTGCCAAAGTTTTCAGTGTAAAGATTCTGAATCACTAGTCTCACTGTTTCATACAGTTTCACTTAAAATCTGCTTTTCTTAGTAGTTTTTTTTTTATAACATGCTTTATGGTTCTGTCATTAAATAACTACATGAAAAGTATTTAATAGTCTGAAGAACCTAATGAGAAAAAAGAAAAATGAAAAACTGTTTACCTGTACTCATCTGTTGTGCATCATTCTCTTGTTTTCCTTTATGGAAATAAGACAGTCCCAATTTTAGATGGTTCTATGGCTCAACTTAGGCTTTTCCTGTTGGATTGTGGTGTGACAGCAGTATGCACTCAATGGAACCCACAGCATGACACTTTGGTGATGCTGTAGCTCCCCTCGGCTATTTCAGATTGTGATGTCTTCAACTTCCAGTGGGTATATCAGGAAGTGGCCCTGTTTTAAACTGTGGAAGATCTGCAAAAGGATAGAAGAATTAAGTTACAGAATTCTTTAAACCCATAAACATCCTACCCACTTTTGTCATAATTTTTTAAGTATAGGGAGAAAAAATACCTTTCCCCCTCCCCTTAGGGGAAGCAGTTTACATGTGCTCTTTGTGGTTGAGTAACTGAGCTGTGGGTCTTAATTGCCTTTCGTTGACATGGATATATTTGTTTTCATAGTCAAATCATGCCCAGACATTGTATTTTTTTTTTTTTTTTATAGGAAGTTGAAGCTATCACTCTGGAGCTAGAAGAGCTCAAGCGAGAGCATGTGTCCTATAAACAACAACTTGAAGCTGTAAATGAAGCCATCAAATCCTATGAAGGTCAGATTGAAGTAATGGCTGCTGAGGTGGCTAAAAATAAGGTAACATTTGCAATTTTTCCAATTTAAGTAAATCTTAATGTTTGAGGTTAGTGGTCTCCATCTGTACTTTTGAGGAGAGGTGAACATGAATATTACTGATCCACAAAGAGTCCTGAAATACTGCTTCATTGTTTCAGTCAGGGTCTACTCAGGAAAGAATAAACTAGAGTCCTTTGAATAGGCAAAGTTTAAATAATAATCAGCCTTGCACTGTTCTTACGGGGTAAACTAGAAAATCCAGAACAGGGAACAGCCCTTGCCGGTAGGACGGAGGCAGGCGACCACATAGCACACATGTGGAAGCCCCATGCCACCTGCAGGGCGAGTGACAGACCCAGCTGGGAAGGACGCAGGTGTGGGCACAGGCGGGTGCCCGGCCCCCAGACCTGCTGCAGCACCCACTGGCATGCCTGGAAGCTGCACGAGTGGCCGCCCCGCGCAGGCCGGGCTGCTGAAGAAGTACGTCGGGACTGCATGTGAAGCCTTCCTGTGTCCCCACTGCTCAACTCACGATGCTGGTGGGGGAGTCAGGAACATGAGGGGCGGGCTTGGGACTGCGGGGGCTTCTTTCGTGTGGTGGAGATGTTCTGCCATCTGCAGGTTAACGTAAGTCTGTATTAGAGACAGTTTCTGCGTGTAACTGAATGCATGTAACTAACAGTGACATGTCATTTACCCACATCAGAGCTGAATTTTTTGCCTTTCGTTGTCTATTTTATGTTTTTCCCTTGAGATAGTTGTTTTTAATAGTTCATTGTTACTAATAGCAGATGTCTTTTTTGGAAGATTCTTCCTTTTGTATTGCATTAAATTTTCTCTTTTTCTGCCAGTTGATAATTTTGCCTCCAAAGTAAATTTTTAAAATATCTAATTTCCCTGATTTTTCTTCTATTCTCACATTTTTCATCTTATTCTTCCTCCATTTTTCTTTCATAGGCATTATGTATTGCTGTTGTGCTTCTAAAGAGGAGTGGGGAAAATAAACCACTCCCTTCTTAATATTAACACTAACATGGATCCCTTAGTTTTAAAGGTACTTCATTGAGGCTTTACATTGTAATTTCTCTTTGTGGCGAACAGTAGCTAAGGAGACTATGAAGACATTAAGAAATGGCCATCTCATTGGGTAGAGGCAAGATTAAAACATTTCTGCTCAATCTTAAATGTCAGATTATAAGTTACACTTGCAATGCAATCTTTAACATTTAGACATACGAGTATTATAAACTTTTCTTTTTGTTAGTTAATAAACTTATTTTTCCTTTGGTTAATGTGCCCAGAGTACTTTTCACTTTCTTAGTCTTCAAAGGATTTAAACAACTAAATAATCTTCGGTATTTAGAGAAATGCAATGATTTTTATCTTCCTTCTGAAAAAGACCTGTTACGATACAAACATTATAAAGTAATTAAAGCACTTTGGGCTCATTCCGTTATCTAATCGTAATATTAGTTGTTTTTATTGCTCAAAATTTTTTCCTAATGAGAATACCTTTAAAATTCCCAAGTTGTTACTGGTGCTTTCAATCACATATGGAGATTGTATTTCTCACAGTTCTGCTTCGTTTCTCTCTAATCTAAATATGAGTTGAGCTAGGTTGGTTGGTTTGTCTTAGACAACTGTGTGAGTTGATAGAGAACTTTTTAAGATCTAGGATGAAGTAAAGGGACATATCACCAATCTATTCTACAAAAAAATCTTTTCTGTTTTGACCCCCTGGGATAGGACCAAATGCTGTGACCTTTCGTTGTTGCTCGTAAAGTCCATGTATCTACAGAGAGGAGGAAGAACAAATTCCAGCCTACTTTACTTTTACCCCTGTTCTTTGCCCCTCCTGGGTAGATGTCATTTGGGGTGGTGCATAAGAGTATCTCATTAACTACTCAGAAATTCCACTTTTCTGAGAGACCTAGTAGTCCCTTCTCTCTTCGGTTGAGTCCATTTACACTGTATCCAGTGGAAACTTGTTGCTTCTAGTATGAACACTACATCCCACCCCTTTTTGCCAGTTGAATTCTCCTATATGTAAATTCACTGACATTTTAATGAGGACATAAAAATGGAGAGGGTTAGGTGGCCATCTGCCTGTAATCATTGCTGTCTTGCCCAGAAGTCTGTTAAATGATCTCTCAGTGAACCAAATATATCTTTATTACCTTACTATACTGTTTATTTTAGGAATTAGTAAATAAAGCTCAAGAAGAGGTGACCAAGCAAAAAGAAGGAATAACAGCCCAAGATAACGTGATTAAAGCTAAATATACAGAAGTGGCAAAACATAAAGAGCAAAACAATGATGCACAGCTTAAAATTAAGGAACTGGACCACAACATTAGCAGACATAAGCGGGAAGCTGAGGATGCTGCTGCAAAGGTATGTAGTATTATTCATTTTTACCATTAATCAAAATTTTGCTTATGGGTTGAAATATGAACTGCTCCATGAAGCACTCAGTATAAATGGCAAAAGTACTGCTTATAATAATTTTGAGACAACTGTGTTAACTGTTATTCAACAGTACCTGTTTTCACCAAATGACACTCACTAATGTTTTGTATTTAATTTTAATTATTTAATCCTAACTACAAGTTATAGAATTACTAATGAATTAGTAATGATAATGTTGAACTTAGAATTCAGATAAACACATACTCTCAACTTGTAAAATAAGAACTTAGTTGACTTTAGAATATTATGAAGATCAATACTGTCAATTTTTGATGCCTCATCTGAAATCTGATGTCACTGTTTTTAATAGTTTCTTCCATGTATCACTGGCCCTTAAATATTTTAAAGGGAGCACATGCTTTTGCAGAAACTCATTGGTATGTATATGTATAGTTTTAGTAATTCATCGGTCACGTTTTTTTAAAAGATTTATTTATGCATACAAGAACTGGGGTGTAGGTCTGAGGTGAGGGGGTGAGAGGATTCACCAGAGACCATAGGGAGCAGAACAGATGTACTGAAATACACTGCTGAGGGTAGCAGCTGGCAAAACAGGAGAGGTCTGGTTAGCTCCCTGGCCTGAGATCAAACGCATGCTGCCATGGCTGGAGATAGCTTGATAGTGCTGTGTCTTTAACCCCTGCGCCACCAGGGAGGCCCATAGTTTTCTTAAGCTTGTATAACAGTTCAGTGCATTTTTAATCTTTCCTTAGCATCATAAAAATGAGGTTTAACTTCAAAACAATCTTTTCTACCTCTGCAAGAGTATTGACTGCCTGTTTATTGCTTGGTTTAAAACACATTTATTAATGACTGCATTAACCTACTAACCTAGTATTAGTGGGTTCACTGAAATATTATCAGTACTAACATTACTCTATAGTTTTTTTGGTCATTGAAAAGGCTAGTACTAGTGATTCCTTGGGGGTTTTATTTATAAAGAAAAGAGTAAAAAGAGGAACTTCAAGGGGACAGCAAAATTCAAGGATTCTTTAAAACAGTTTATGAAATACTGCTCATGGACTAGAAAGGAACTTAAGCCTAAAATTGATAATTTTATTTTGGATCCTGGAGGTGAGACCATGTCCATAGAATTAACAAGGACAAACAAACTGAGAAGGATTGAATTATAGCAGTGACAACCATACAGTTCTAGAAGAAAGTATTCCTCAAAGCACTGTAATTTGAAATGTTTAATCAGGTGTATTACGTGCAGTTACAAAAGAATAGTGGGGCGTCAACATACAGGATAGTTCTTTTTACTTAAGATTTTAATTCTGGAATAAATGTTAGGTATCTGTTACTAAGTCATAAGTTATTACTGTAAGAATTTCACAAGTTTTTCTCAAGCAATAGATTGAATTTGGTAGAATCTCAAGGTGCCTCATCTGACTTATATTTCATTCTAATGGAGATGTTGTTACCTATACTTTAAGGATTTCTTTATCAGTTGGCTCTTGTAGTGCTTACAGAATATCTTTTTGTGGTCTTTTATTTGAATCTATTTCAGGATAAAAATACTCATTCCTGTCAAAAATGAACCCACTTTTTTCAAATGAGTTACCGTCCAGTTTTTCTCCAAAGTGTTTTAGAATTAGTAAACATTTAAGAAACTGGTTTCTAAATGTAGGTTTATAAGCAATGATAGATTCTCCTGTTGTATGTGGCTAGGTATCCAAAATGTTGAAAGATTATGACTGGATTAATGCTGAGAAACACCTCTTTGGCCAACCGAATAGTGCCTATGATTTCAAAACTAACAACCCCAAAGAAGCAGGTCAGAGGCTTCAGAAGTTGCAAGAAATGAAGGAGAAACTAGGACGAAATGTCAACATGAGAGCAATGAATGTACTGACTGAAGCTGAAGAGCGGGTGAGTGTGTTCCTAGGACAATCTGGCCTCTCTGGTACATGGGTGGCTCTGATAGCTCTTTCTGACCTCTGAGGTAATGATTAGTCAACCTTTTATTTGATGTCCTTAGAACTGGAAAGAGAAAAGGGGGAAAGTGCTTATTTTCTTCTTTCTGCATTATCAGTTTGTATATTCTGTTGGACCTTGAATGGCTTTACCATAGGCTTGTTCTACTTATTCTTCGTGTAACTAATACCACCCTTCAGTCCATACCTCTGTATTAAGGGCATTCTATATAAGTAATGCCCAAAACTGTTCCGTACATAACCACTGTTTATACAGATGAGTCACTCAGCAGCATCTCCTCATTATTTGATAATGTTATCTATCCCTCCTACCATGACAGAACTTTATAGTCTGCAATGTCAAGAGCCCAGAAGCAAAAGTAGACACTATTCTTGGGGTCCCATAAGAGGAAGAAGTCTTACTTATTCTATACCATCCCCTATACCTTCTACAAAATTGTTTGAATTTGTATATTAACGTTCCAATAAGAATGAGAGCTCTAACACTGTTAGTAATTATGAGTTCAATTACTTTTAAATGTGTAGTAACAGTACCTGCCAAGAATATCTTATGTCAGATACCAAATTAATGCAGGTGTTGTGATCTTTGAAATGTTCCTGTCGGTTTTCATTTCCCCATAAAACTTTGCAACATATGTCATATTTGTGGAAGGAAATCTTTGGTCTGAGGTTCAGCTACAGATAGATATCTATATAGAGCTATATGCTCTTAGAATTCACAATTCCCATCTCCTTGCCAGAGATTGTTTCCATTTTCAGCATATGACTTCTTTTATTTTTTGTTATAATTTGAGTGTGTCCAGATAAATACTTGGGATTTTTCAAAGATAAGATAAAAAGATGGAGAAGTTTTAGGAGGTTGGCCATATGAACAGCCCTGGTTGGAGTTTTTCAGGGAGAATTTGAAGCCAGCTTAAATGTGAGGCTTTGGGGAGAAATAAGAGGATCTTTAGGAAGCTTTGCTGTTGTGTCCATGGTATGATTATCCTTCAGTATCCTCATTTTTTTTTTTTTTTTGTAGTGAACAGTTTTACATTTTTTGGGAAGGTTACTCTGAAGATGTGATGTTTGAAGCAAAACACAAGTTAACGGTTACGTCAGAGATAGAGAAAGAACATTCCAGCAAGAGAATGATGCAGGAGCTATATATATCTATAATGAACTTACTATGTTTAAGGAACTGAAAAAAACACCATAGGATTGGAGCATAGACAATGATGTTATAGAGAAAAAGACCAAATTACATAGAAAAGACCATGCAGGGCTTTTTTTTTTGCATTTACCTATGACATTTTTATCTTGGCTACCAAGAAGATAAAAAGATTTATTAGTGTAGCCAAATATTTCACAGCCTGTTCTATAAATTGTCTATTGAATTTTACATATAGATGATATACTATAAGTGAAACTATAAGGAGAGTATCTTATAGAAAAATATGTTTTTCATTAAGTATATTTTTTATCTTACTAGTATAATGACTTGATGAAGAAGAAGAGAATTGTGGAAAACGACAAATCCAAAATCCTTGCAACTATTGAAGACCTTGACCAGAAGAAAAACCAAGCCCTAAATATTGCTTGGCAAAAGGTATTTGAACCAAAAATATTATTTATTCTGTATGAGTCAAGAGCAAAATATGACCCATAGGTTTTTATACTGAGAGGTATTTAAAGGAATAGTTTATTTGCAGTAGGCACCTGCTGTCACCTTAGAAAACAAAACATTTAAAAGCCTGAGGTTCACTATTAGTTTGCTAAGGTAAGTTTTAGTCATTCCATGCTCCCATCATCTACTTCAAGTTATGCTAAATTCTTGACTTTCTAGATTTTTTCCATTTATCATTCTTAACCTTGGTATGCCGTTTGTCATCTTTCTTTTCCATGAAACCATATGTTCTTATATTTGGAAGAAGTCTTTTATACCATGTTCTATCTACTAGACCTCACACTCTACTTGATACGAGAAGCATTATCAGTTTCACGCTGAGGAATCTCTAGTTGTTGGAAAATTTCCCACAAACCATTCAGTTACACTATCCTTGGTTTCTTTTGCCTAGGCTTGAAAGAGGCTAAATATTTGATCTAAGAATGTTTGTAGAACAAGATTTGTGATTTCTTAGTATTTATAAATTTTTAATTGAATTTCAGAATTTGTGTTCTCAAGTTTAGTCAATCATTTTGTACGATAGATTAATAGTTATGTATTACAGAATAAGCAGTTAGTTTTATATGAATTGTCTTAAAACTAATTGTATCATTGACAGTTACAAAGAAACCAAAGCTTAAGAGAGATGAAAATTCTAAAGATGCTATATAGTCATAGGAAGAAAAGCTGGGATTTTCATTTTTTTCTAAATTGGAACCAAAATTAAAATTGCCTTTTGTTGGTAACTGCTGTCACCCTTGTTGCTTTCAAGAATTGGGCAGTATGGGCCTCCTCAGTGGTGCAGCGGGTTGAGAGCCACACTATGAAGCTGTCCGCAGCTTCTGCAGCGCGAGTTCAATCTCAGCCGTCTGGCGAGAATCCCACATGGCGAAGCAGACCTCTCCCGCTGTGCCCGCTGTTCCCTCAGCAGTGTCTTTGGTCAGTCCACCTGTTCTGTTTCCCGCTCTGTCTCTGGTGAATTCTCTCATCCTCCCGCACCTCTGACTGTACCCCAGTTCTTATATAAATAAGTCTTTTTTAAAAAAAGAAAAGAATTGGGCAGTAGACAGGAAGTTTAGTTCCTTTTTAATGTACTTTTATTCAACAAAATATCAGTTACCATTTTTGTTTTATGACAACTTTGTGGCAGATTTCAGGGTTCTTTATGATTATTTCTACTTCCCTGACTGCATGTATATTTCTTTGGAATAATTCCTTAGTTTTTTATGTGGAGTTATTACATAGACACTATACCGTTTGGTACTTAATAAGCCTTTGCTTCTTTTTTTTAAAAAAGATTTATTTATACATACAAGAACTGGGGTATAGGACAGAGGTGCAGTGGAGAGTGTAAGAGGATTCACCAGAGACACTGTGGGAAGCAGAACAGGCATATCTACTGAAATACACTGCCTAGGGGAGCAGCGGGCAAGACAGAGGTCTGCTGCACCCTATGGATTAGCTCCCTGGCCGGCCTGCCCCCTTATGCCCCTTTTTCCATAGGAACTTTATTTTCAGTATGGCAGTACTTCTATCCCTCTCAGTCTTGGTTCTCCTGCTTTACAACTTAGTTTCCATATTCTCTGTAGTATTTTTCTGTGGTTTTAAAATGCATGCAAATGTTGGCCCCATTGGTTTTTGAATAGCATGTAGATTTATTAACACTGAATCTGAGTGGTTTTGTCTCTTGTTTTCCCAGTGGTTCCTGGATTTAGTGCTATTATAAAATTAACTTTTTAATTTTTAACTGATTTCATGTTCCAAGGTTCTCCAAAAGCAAGTTAATTTGGTGACTGCTTGGTCCATGTCAGGCACTTTATTTTTTTAACACCACCCTCTGTCAGGTACTATTCTTGTATTAGTTTTCTCATTTAATCCTTACAGTGACCTATAAATACAATGCAGGTACTTGCTTTTGTTTCCAAAGCATAGTTAATTCATAAAGCTAGAGTACTTCAGGTGCTGGTGTTAAATATTATGCTTTCTTTCATTACTCAAAAAAAACAGTGGTCCTCTCCCCTTTATGCTGAACTTTGCCTAGCTTTGAAAATCTATCCCAGATAAAACTAGAACTTGGTTTTTCTGTGTGCAATTTACTTAGGATGGGAGCAGTTCCAAGTATGTCTGATAGTAAATCTATCCAGGAACGCCTCTTGTGTTTAGATTTCCTTGTTATTTCCAATATAAAGGTATATTTGTACTTGAATTTTGTGTGCCTGCACTTGAATTTAGAGATTTCCTTAGAGGACATGATTGGCAAATCCTTTGTCTACTAAACTCTAAGATTATTAGTCATGTCTTTGAAGACAGAGGGCTGAATTCTCAGTTCATTGGTCACTATCTGTACAAAATTACCCAGTTACAAGCTGGAATATTGACCTTGAATTTCTGTGTAGTTCCTACTATGACTGGTTCAGGGTAAGCTAATTGGTCTCTTTAACCTCTCTCTCGTAGGGTCCTCTCCCTATCCTTTTTGGTTATAAGGAGAAGCATATAGGAAAATAGACCTGGCTTTTTGATTTCATGCCAGGTTTGTCACATGGGCCATAAATTTTCACCCCTGGATTTAGAATACCAGACAACACAATGCACCTGCTGGGTTGCATATACACATATCAAGTTGTGTTTTTTCTTGGAAAACCAATGCGATTTTAATGCTTGTTTTTCATCTAGGTGAACAAAGACTTTGGTTCTATTTTTTCTACCCTTCTGCCTGGTGCTAATGCTATGCTTGCACCACCAGAGGGGCAAACTGTCTTGGATGGTCTGGAGTTCAAGGTTGCCTTAGGAAACACTTGGAAAGAAAATCTAACTGAACTCAGTGGTGGCCAGAGGTGAGTAATTCCTTTATAATATTGGATTTCTTCATTAGCTGATCTTATCGCTGCCTCCCAGTTTTGTTTTGCCTTGCTTAGTTATCTTTGTATGTAGAATTTAAGGAACCTAATATGATCACATATTGTGGTTAGAATATGACTGAAGGATAATTAACTAGAGAGTAAGGCAAAAAAAAATACAATTAGGACACAAAGTTGCTTTCAGACATTGGAAAATGATTAGCCCAGAAGTATTGCACTTGAGAAAAATGAAACAAAAATGCTGAACCCAGTGTTTACTCTGTCTTTCCCCACGAGAACACAGAAACCAGTGGTAGTCTAAAATTTAGTGAAACAGATTGGAAATTTGAGAGGCTCCATTGATCAATACCTTAGCATTGCCTCCATACTAACCTTTATTCTACACATATTACCCAAAATTCAGAACTTGAACTTTTCAAATTGATCTGCATGTAACTATCAAAACAAACAGGACTGTATCTAATAAAAGTTACTAGAGAGAAATCAAGAGAATATGACTTAGAGCTTTACAGAAACAGATTCAGAAATGACAAATGATTGAACTAGCAGACAGGAAAGTTAGAGTTATATTAACTGTTGCCAAGAATTACAGGCTTTTCCTCCTTTCCAAAAGTAATGTTCAGTATAATTGGTAGCTTATTTTTTGGGTCTGGGAATGTTTAAAGCTTTTTTTCCTTGTTAATTAGTGGCTATGACATTTCCAGACTCCAAAAATAATCGAATTACCTACCAAATCATAGCAAATAGGTTATTTCTACTTTTAGATAGAAGGGAAACTTATGTGGGGCATGAGAAGATGAGAGAAATGAAAGCTATTAAAGAAGTGGCATTTCTAAAGGTAAAAAGTATAGAAGAAATAGAAACCACTGCATGAGAGTAGCAGATTAGACACTGTAAAAGAAACGTGAGTGAATTTGAAGATGGGGCAATGAATCTATTTAAGCTAAAGAGGGAAGACAAAAAACTATGAAGAAATAATGGCACTAGTTATTTAAGATTTGACCAGTTCTGTGAACTCAGATTTGTGTTTATTAAGCCCCAAATAGGATAAATACATCCACAACTGCTACCTCCCCCACCACAATGACCCAGCAAAGCAGGCCATGTAAAACTGACCAGTTATTTACCAGCACTACAAAGGCATATTAAGTGTCATGGACCAAAGATAAAGGTGACTTTGAACTTGTCATCAAAAAACTATGCAAGCTCAAAGTCTGGAGCAATAGCTATAAAATTTTAAAAGAAAAACATGTCAAATCTAGGATTCTGTACCTAATATTCTCCACAGATTATACGCAATATAAACATTTTTTCAGAAAAACAAAACCTGGAAGAATGTGTAGTAGTAGACAGGAAGTTCTCAAGTGAAAGGAAAATCAGGGAAGTATCTCAGCCATATACGTGATTCAGAAAATGCACATATTGCTAGAAAATTAAAAGATTATGTGGCCCAGCTCCTTACCCGCAGAGAATCAGCAAATTAAAACCTGAGTAAGATTGTGAATATTCACATAATTAAAGCCTTCCTCTGCAGGATGTACAATCCATACGTAGTCCTTGAATTGTCCTCATGTGCCCTGTAATACTCTCACATAATTCTTACATATGTAAAAAATTTTTAAGAACTATAGAAAATTGTAAGACCTGTTAATTTTGTCATTTTTATGAAAAGCAGTCCACTATTTTCATTCAAATTGTTAATATTAAAATTTCTAAGTATTAAGAATTCAAATGACACCTTTTGCCTACTAAACCGAAACTGAATTCCACAATTTAGATCCCAGTATCTTGAACTGTTTTTGCCAAAATCCTGGAAAATAGGAAATATATGCTGCTTTCTTAAGGACCTAGAAATTATTTCCATGATTAAGTTGGTGAGATTTTTTTTTTAAATGATTTTTAAGATTAAAGCTCAATAAAAATTAGACACAGTAAGCCAGTGAAAAATAATTTTAAGTTACTAGAATGACGTCCACGCCCCTCAATTGAGGTGAATGTTAATGTGTTTTAGTGCCCTGTTTTCATTTCCGTTGCTAGAAATTTTGAACTCACCTCCCTAGACCTTCTCATTATTGCACACAATTTTTTGCCCCACTTACATGTTTTTAATACTTTAGTTATAATCTAATGCTTATTACTACATTCCAGTATAAATGCTTCCATAACAAGTTAGCGTGAAAACAGCTGCAGTTAAAAGGGAGGTGTGATTAGCGAAGGAGAATGGAAAAAGAACTATGGAATCTAAGAATAGGCCTAACTACAAATTTTCAATAAGGTGTATTTAGGGTTCCCTGGAGAAAATAGTTTATATATAGGAAGAGATTTATTACAAGGAATTGGTTTATTTTATTGTGGAGGCTTTGAAGTCCCACAATCTGCTACCTCTAAGTTAGGGACTTAGTAAAGCCAGTGGTGTGATTCAGTTTGAGTCACAAGGTTAAAGAACCAGGGTAGCTGATGGTATCGATTCTAGTCTCCATCTTAACAGCCCGCAAACCAGAACCAGGAGTGCAAAGGGCTGGGTATCTATATCTCAAGTTAAACAGTTAGACAAGAAGAGAAAAAATTCTTTCCTATATCCTTCTTTTCTTCCCCCCTATTCAGGCCTTTAGGACTACATGATGTCCATCGATCACTGGGAAAGGCAAAGTACTATTATCAGCTCAGATGCTAGTTTCATCCAGAAACACCCCCACAGCTACACCTAGAAATGATGTTTAGCCAAATAGCTGGTTGTCTTGTGATCCAATCAAATAGACAATCACATAAGGATTATATTTAGAGTAATAGGCTATAGTCCAGCTGCCTCTCAAAGTTTGAAGGAGGGCATTTAAATCAGTAGTAGTGTTACCAGTACCTTTTATCTTAAGTATATAGCCCTCAATCACCTGATCCCGTAGGCATCTAACAAATAATTGGGAAAGAGAAAAATTATTAATACATACATGATCTTTATTTAGTCAATGAAAATTTAGTTAACAGCTAAATACCCTAGTCACCTGACTTCAGTCTACTTCTAAGTATATAGATGCCAAATATAATCCTGATCATATGGCTGAAAATATTATAAACCTATTCTGTTCAAAATAAAACTCATTCAAGAGAGGAAAAAATAGAAATCTAAAATACAAGAAGAGTTTTAATATAACCATAACCAAAGTGTTGAAGTTTAAAATTAAAGATTCCTTTTTTTCCTATGGCTATCTTTCCGCTAAATCTGTACTATTTATAATAGCATAGCAGATTTCTTCAGTATTTTGGTAAAAAATAGTCAAATCAAGTTTGATAGACTCTCTTCTGATCTTTTCTTAGGTCTTTGGTGGCTTTGTCATTAATATTATCTATGCTCCTCTTCAAACCTGCTCCAATTTACATCCTGGATGAGGTAGATGCAGCCTTGGATCTTTCTCATACCCAAAATATTGGACAGATGCTGCGTACTCATTTCACACATTCTCAGGTAAGAATCAGAAATAAATGTCTCCTAGTTAAGTATAGTACTTGTTTTTCCACAGCTACTTAGTAGTGGTCACTTAATAAAATACTTAGGATTGAGGAATATTAAGATTTCATCTATCTCTTCAAATATGTATTTCAAATGGGTATAGGCGGAAAGAGGATTTGGTCTGTTGAACACAAGGGCCATGCATTACAATTGTTGGTTATAATATGAGGTAGAATCTGAGGTAGATTTTTTTTTAAATTTGGCATTCATTTAAATTTAATGGAATTACTCCCTCTAGTTTACCTCCTGGTGGATGCACTATTAAAACAAGAATATTTCAGGGCTATACCTAGGTTTCAGAACCATGTGGCACTTGATAGGGGAATCCTAATTTCTCCTGGCTATAAGAAATAGAGAAAAGCCCCTTGAAGCTAAGAATAGTTTTTGAACTGTTGTTATAAGACCTCTGGCTACAAAATATGGTTGGATAGCTAATGTATGGGGCAATTCTGGGGGCTTCACTCACAGTTATCATGGATGTGCATTTATTCTGGCAATTTTGGGGCAGATAACAGTGAAGTAGTACCTCTTTTAAATTATACAAATGTTCCATTTGAGCTGCTGGCAGTGCTCACCAACTTGAGGCCTTCCTTAATATTAAAATACCAGAGAAAAATATTTCACAAGGGCATTTAGAGCTAGCAACAAGCAGTCAACCGGCAGGAAATAAACAAACATGGGTAATGAGGCACTGAGGTAAAATTAAGCAATTTCTAAAACAGAATAGGAAGCTAGGATTCATTCATATTATAATTCTTCCTTTCTTGCATTTGAGAATTTGCATTGCTTAGAGCCAAGCATTTAAAGAAATATCAAAACATCTCCAAAAATAGTTCTTAATTTGACCCCAGTGTTAAAAATGGATGGCACTTCAAGGGTATTGTGAAAAATGTTTATGCTTTTTTCTCTTTTTGCTTCAAGTTCATTGTGGTATCCCTTAAAGAAGGAATGTTCAACAATGCGAACGTCCTTTTTAAAACCAAGTTTGTGGATGGTGTTTCTACAGTAGCTAGGTTTACGCAATCTCAAAATGGAAAGGTTCCAAAGGAAACAAAATCAAAGGCAAAAGGACCCAAGTGATCACATATGGAAGCTTCAAGTACAGATTTACTCCTTCACCTTGACCTGTTTTTTTAAACAAACTTTTTAGGAACTTGGACTTTATCTAATTTTATCTAATATGTGTATGTGAAATTTTAATGTTACTTAACCCAGATTTTCTTCCTTTATATAATCACTTATAAATGTGTGTAGATTCTTCTTAATTAGTGTATAACTATGGTCCAATTACTGTGGCTGTGATTTTATATATATCAAATGTTCTTACCCAAGTTTTTTTATATACTAGGAAACCTGAGATACCTGCTTGGTGTTAAATTCTATTTGTAAAAACAAAAATACAAAGAGACAGATTAAATTATAGAATATATATAGCTGATACTCAGCTTTTTAGTTAGTTTAATTCCTAAGGTAATATGTATTTTCTATTGCTAATAAAGTTATTCAGGTAAGGAAGAATTGCAAAGCAAGTAATGAACAGGGACAACAGAAAGCTATTTGTCCTTAGTTCCTTGAAGACACAAACCTTTAGATCTCAGATTTAGACTCAGATGGGAAACAGATCTTGAAACATTTCTCATTTTAATGATGTGTGTGTTTTTGTTTTTTAATGATGTTTGAATATCATGTTTCTATATATTCAGTAATTGTTCTCTGTAACCTTAAGTTTTAAAAATGAGTATTTTAATAGAAGTTTGGAGAAGCTGCTCTCTGCTGCACGTTTATCAGAAGTCTAGTGTTTTCAGAGATTTGTATCACCCTTTTCATAATCTAATCAGAAATATGTATTGGAGGAATGAGAATGTAGGAGTCAGCAGACTAAATCAAACTGTCTTTTTCCTAACTTATGATAAATATGTCAGTGGGTCCCTCTGTTTTACCAAAAGGACTCACAACTTAACCAGTGTTAGTATCTTCTGTTTTCCAGTTCAAAAGGATGAAGTTTCTTATAAGAATTCAAAGAATGGTGTTAACAAACACTAAGAAATATATATGGTATTCTTCGTATCTCTAGGTATATCACCAGAACAGTGTCTCCAAACTCTGAATCATAAACGCTCTGATGTTGGCTTTATTATTTTGACCCCAGGTCCCTTCTTCATAATATGAGTCTAAAATTCCTCGGTGCCAGTTAATCCTTTCCCTGATACATGCACATACTTGTTGGCACTAAGTTTAACATTTCTCATCCTTCATTTTCATACATTATCTAGAAGTTGCCAGGTAACAGCCTGGTAACCCATTGTTGGGACACATTGGAAAGAAAGAAATAGGAAATTAGCTCTAGCCACTGCGTAAGAAGGGAGACAAACCTATATATGCTGAGCCACAGGAAATCCAGTATCAGGATAAAATTTTTTTTTCAAATGTGTTGTAGATTGTTACATCATTTGCACTGTCACCAGTATATAGTATACTTATTTGACCACAACTCATAAATTTTAGTAATTCTGCTGTTTTAGTTAGGATTTTATAAATAACTTGTTGGGGTTGAATATTTTACCACGTGTACTAGTTTTTATTTTCCTCTGCAACAGATTGTCTACTTAAGTGCTTTCCTAATTGGTTTTATGTATCAGTCTACTCTAAAAATCCTCAAATATTACATTTTTGTAAGTAATGTCATTCTTTATTTGGTTCTAGGGCTGGGAAATGTTACCTCCTATTTTCTGGGGAATTTATGCCAGTTCTATATAATTCTTTAAATGTTTGGTAGAATTAAACCATCTGGGCTGGATTTGGGGGCTGTGGAGTGTTTGATAAAATGAGTACACTTTCTTTTAATAGTTATAGGGCCATTTGAATTACTTCATAGTGACTTGTGATAGTTTGTGTTTTAGGTTTTTATATATATATGTGAACACTTCTGTTTCATTTAATTGTCAGATTTGTGTGTGGAGGTCATGGTATTTCCCTATCCTTTTGATAGATCCAATTTCTGTATTCCCATTTATAGAAATTTGTCTCAAAATATTTGTCATTCTTAATGGAGGTTTGTAAGTTTTACTGTCTTCTGATAAACTCTGTTGTCTTTATTGCCAACTCACCGATTTCTGCTTTTATCTTATTTCGTTTTTTTCTGCTTGCTTTGAACACTGAGTTTTATGATGGAAGCTTGGATTACTGATTTGCAATTATTTTCCAATAAATCATAAATGTTAAATTTGCCTCATAATCTTTTGTCGTGGCACTTCAAGTCTGAGCAGAGTGTGAGAATTGTTTATTGGTGTGAGGAAGCCTCCACAGACATCCATGTTGCAATTAGGTGAAAGAAAACCTATTTACCTCACCAGAGAAGAAAAAGAAGACATCCCAATTGGGGAAGTGGAAGGGAAAGGTAAAAGGCTGGAATAATATGAAGAGAAATATGGTAAGGTCAAAATAAAACTTATTATTTGCAGATGACTTATTACATATTAAAAAACCCTAAAGACTCCAAAAAACTTATAGAGTAAAAGAATTCACTAAATTGCAGGCTGCATATAATCAACATACCAAAATCTGCTGCATTTCTATACACCTGACAACCAGAAAGATAATAAAACAATCCCATTACAATTGTATTAAGATCGAAAATACACGGGAATAAATTTAACCAAGGTGGTGAAAGCTCTGTACACTGAAACGAAGACCCTTATGAAAGAAATTCAGAGAGACGTGAATGTAAGATACTTCATGCTCATGGATTGCAAGAATTTGCATTGTTTAAAATGTCCATGCAGAGCAATCTACATATTCACTGCAATCCCTATTAATGTCAGTGGCTTTTCACAGAAATAGAAAAAATAAGCCTAAATTTTTTTATGGTACTATAAATGACCCTGCATATCCAAAGCAATCTTGGCCCAGAACAAAACTGAGTCATCTCATCCCTGATTTCGCACAAATCTACAGTAAAAACATCGATCAATGTAACAGAAGAGTGTCTAGAAATAAACCAGTGCCTGTACATGGTCATGTAGCATACGACACGGGAGGCAAGCACATGCATTGGGGAATACCCCTTTAATGTGCTGGAAAATGGGACACCTACAGTCAAAACAATGAACCTGGAACACTACCTCTTACTATGTACAAAATTAAAATGGTTTAAAGCCTTGACTGAAAATACCTGAAACCATAAAACTCAAATAGGCAGGCAAGCTCCTTGGCTGTTGGTCTTAGTGATTATATTTTGGATCTGATACCGAAAGCACAAATAAAAGGCAAAAACTAAACTTCAACACAGCAAGAGAAACCACCAACAAAATGAAAATTGAACTGACAGAATACAAGAAAACATTTGTAAATCATCTCACATAAGGTTAAGATATAGAATATATAACAAACTCATCCACTCAAAATCCAGTCAATAAATGGACAGGGTCTAAGGAGACTGCACCAAAGATAACACACAGCTGACCAGAGTTACCCGTAATGACCAGGAAAATGCAAATCGAAACCATAGTGAGAACCATCTCACACCTGTTAGAAGGGCAGTTACTAAAGACAAGAAACAGTGTTGGCGACAATGTGGAGAAAAGGGAATCTTTGTGCACTGTTCAGTGAGAGTGTAAATTACTGCACCTGCTATGGGAAACAGTCTGGAAGTTTCTCAGAACTATATGATCCAGCAGTTTTACTTACGGGTATCAGTCTGTAGAGAACAAAACACTAACTTGAAACATCACATTATTTATAGTAGCCAAGATACAACATACGTATCCTTCAATGTATGTATAAAGAAAATGGTATAGTCATGTACACACACACACCCCAAAATACCATATGAGCTCACAGACATGGAATCTAAAATTAAAACCTGAGCTCAGAAGATGCTGGCAGGGAGTTTGGGCTGGGTGAAGGGAACCAAAGTTACAAACTTCCAGCTACAAATAACTCATGATGACTGTAATCAGTATTGTTGCAAATTTGAGCCTTTCAGAGTAAATCTTAAAAAGTTCCTATCACAAAATAAAGTGACGAGGTGGTAACAGTAACTAGCTCTAGTGTGATCATTACTATACATGCAAATACTGAATAATACTGTACACCTCTCTTATGCCAATGACACCTCAATTAAAAAGAAAACTTAGGGCCTCCCTGGTGGCACAGCATTGTGGAGCTGTCCGTGGCCTCTGTAGCACAGGTTCGATCCCAAGCCGGACAGGGAGATTCCCACATGGCGCGCCAGACCTCTCCTGTCTCGCCCGCTGCTCCCCTCAGCAGTGTTTTTGGTCTGTCTGCCTGTTCTCCCCTCTCTGTCTCTGGTGAATCCTCTCACCCTGTGCTTCTCACCTGTACCCTGGTTCTTGTATAAATAAATAAGGCTTAAAAAAAAAAAAAAAAGAAAACTCAGCAAAGCTGTTGTAAACATAGCCTGAAGAGCCTTTCATCTGCTAATGAAAATCATAAAATATTTTATTCCCATTATGAAAATTCTAATCCCCTATGGTTTCACCTGTATACTTTCACATTGAAGAAAGTAACAGCATTCTTACACAAAGTTTTACAGAATATAGAAGGGAATGGAGTACTTCCAGGTGTTTTTTTTTGAGGCCAGTGTTATTCTAATAGTAAAATTTGCAATGACATTATAAAACAAGAAACTTATAAAAAGTCATGAACAGCAACAAAAATCCTGAAAATATTGATTATATATAATCAATTATATATAAAATTACTATGTATAATCAATTATATATATAAATAAGCCAACCTAAGTGCCCCCAAACATGAGTGGATCAATAAGATGTGTTCTAATATACACAACAGATACGTGTATAGAAGCATGTGCCATTTATAGCTACATGGCTAGAGCTAAGGGATAAGCTAAGTAAAATAAGTCAAAAGAAAGATAATTACCTGTAGAACTAAAACATACAGGGGGGGAAAGGATGAGAAAAAGAGGTGAGGGAGCAAAATGGACGGGTGTGGACTGCGGGGCAGGTGCACTGCAGTGGTGATGGGGCAGCGGTGATCGTATGCTTCCAAAATAATAATAATGGAAGCCAACATTACCCCAATAAAATAAACCTATTATAGGAACAAAGAGTCCTAAACTCACACCAGTGGATCATTTCACAGCAATTGAGTGAGACAGCATGGCTACTAATCTCCAAAGGTATGACAGAAGGGGCCATAAATGGTCTCTTGTCACCAGTTAAGGATGAGAGTTTTCTCCAGTCGGGAGAGCCTTCACATATTATTCTTTCCAAGACAACTTTTATTATGTGGTTTGTAGGATGAGCTCTTACTTGATAGTTACCATCATCCTCTAAAATTTTTAAACCTCAAGGCATAATCGTGTTCCATCCTGCCTGTCAGTCACAATGCACATCACTACCCGCTAAGCAGGCATTCTGAGTCCACCATTTTGTGGAGTTCCAGCCAATCTCCAACTGCCTTTATGAACCTCACATTACACCCAGCGCAACAGTAGTCACAACTCAACTCATTATAAAATGAGAAACTTATAAAACAAGAAACTCATTATAAAACAAACTTCTTTGTCTTTATGTTTTTGCTCGTGCCCTCAATACAGAACAGCCACTCCATACCATTCCTACAACATCCCATCCTTCAAGGGTCTGCTGAAAAGCCACCACCTCTGTGGATCCTTTTCTATTCCCTTCCCTCTTTCATAAGCTATCAAAATATTGTCCATAATAGTAGTAACTGAATACATCTTAGTTTTTCTAGGTGATTGAGTGCCTATTGCTATTAATGTTTTGATCTCAAACATTATTTGCTTTCTAAATGAATATAAGAGATGGTAAATGTTAAAGATGGAATACAGTGCAGTATTTACATCATATACAACTCATAATCCACTGTATGGAATAGTACGTTACTAGAATGAGATTAATTCATATTTACTCTGAAGAATTACTATTAAGATTTTGTCATATGACCATGCTGATGACGAAGTTTCACAGTAAAGTTTTATAAACAAAGATTTCATGGTAGAGATGTTTCCTCCAAAAAAAAAAAAAAAAAAAAAATAACATCCACCCTTTTCTATATTACATCTATTATTTCTATACTGTATCTATTAATTCTATTTTTGTATGCGTGAGAGGTATATAAATTGCCTAAGGTGTTTCAAATTGAAAGTTTCCCACACCCCGTACCTGCCAACTTTAATCAAAGACAAAGTTTAATTCCCTTAGTAATTTAGGTATAGAAATTTGCTGTATTGCTAATTACTTAGGATTGAAAATTCAAGGCAGATGTTAATTTGAAGAGAAAAAAAAAAACCTAATGGGGAAAAAAAGAATTTTATATTGAGATTGCTCCTAGCTCAGCATAGAGGAGCAGGTTTTAAGTACAACCTGATTACCTCCGTTTTGGGGACTGGAAAGAACGTGAGTAATTTACTTTTATAAGTAATTCTAATAGTTAGAGCCATTTCTTCTACTCTTCCTTTCACATATTTTCCATCAGGACTAAATGGACCAAAAATGCACTGTGCTGATAACCGCAGCCCACGCTATTCCCCGGTGGGTTACTGCTCAAAAATTCCTATGGTAAAATGTGAATTCAGGGTAAAGAGAAAAGAAATGAAGAGAACGTACATACAGGAGTTGCACACAATTTCATCTACTGCTTGTTTTTAACACCAAAGTTGCCATCATCACTCTCACAGATGAGGAGACACAAGCTCAGGGAAGTTAATTTGCTTCCTCGGTTACGGTGCAGCAGGATCAGACATGAATATGTCTTTTTAATTCCAAGGTTTATGATTTGTCAACTATGCAGTTTTTTTCTAATACGTTCCAACAAGCAAAAACTTTCCAAACAAGATTCACTTAAGTATGCATGAGAATAAACTTTGAAATAAACTTCTTTTGCCTTCCAGTCTTTTGCCTTCCAGTCTCATAAACCTACAATAACAACCCCCAAAAAACACAAAATAAGTACAAAACCACCAACAAAAAAAAAGTTTCGCTCTCTAGCATTTAATTATGCTGATAAAGGGTGGAAATATAGTTGTTGTGGAACAACCTACAGAGCAGGTCCTTTTTTTTTTTTCTTTTTTTTTTTCAAAGATTTATTTATTTATACAAGCACTGGGTACAGTCAGAAGTGCGGGAGGGTGAGAGAATTCACCAGAGCCAGAGCGGGGAACAGAACAGGCAGAGTGATGAAATACACTGCTGAAAGGAGCAGCGGGCACGGCAGGAGAGGTCTGTCGCACCATGTGGGACCCTTGCCGGTGGCCGGGGATCGAACCGGTGCTGGAGAGGCTGCGGGCAGCTTTGCGGTCCAGCGCTCAACCGCTGTGCCACCAGGGGACATCCTCCTTTTGCTTCTAGCTCATTAAATAAACCATGTAATAACTCATTTCCCCCACTGCTGTCCTCAGTACACACCACTATGACACCTGTTACAACGTGTTGTAATGTCATTTGGTCGTCACCTGCTAAGGTACACATCGTGTACATCTTAAGAACACCTCTGTTCTTTTCTCATGGCCTTTTGTATTAAAATATCCCTGCTTCATGCCAAAGAGAGTTGTACAGATATAAATAGTAGCATTCACGTCACCAAGCAGTGCTTAAGATAGTTATTTGTAGAGATAAATCTCCCCCATATGCATGTATTTCATTTTTTAACTTACCCAAATAAAAACAAAATTCTAAATACTGAGAAGACAATAAATATACACACACCCTGAGAATGTATCCTAAGGTTACAGGCTCCTGAAAATAAATCCCGATTCCTCCACAGAGATTCTAAAACTGCAATTTTTAAGAGATTGAACTATGGTGCATCAAAGATAGATGTGCATAATTTGTATAGAGGGTCATTACTCTCTGACAAAGGCAAGGTTCCATTGCAGCATTTACCTCGGGTTTTCACACATCCTCAGTATTTCTCACCTACACTCAGCTGTACTTTGTGTAGATTAAACTTCTACTCCACTTCCCTGAAAGGTCACAGCTTCAGAACATCCTGCCACTTACTTCGGGACTACGGAAAGTTAGCTGTCATAATTCTTCCATTTCGGTCTACTTTTAAATTTCTCAAAGTCCTATTAAAATATAAGTATAGATGGCACTATCTCTTACGAGCCTAACAATGTTGATAAATGTTGATGAAGTGTTAGAACACTGAATTAAGGCGTAGTACACATTGCTTGCATTTTCTTGACATATGAGGTAGTGAAAACAAATTTAAATGCTACCCTTACTAGGATAAACAAAACTATTCTATAAAATTCAAAATGTACATTTCTGATTATACATATATTATATGTGATATTATATATCATACTGTCCTACAGGTTCATTTGTCATCCCAACTAACCTTGGAACCATTGACTTATTTTAGCATTTTCAGTGCCTAACCTACTACCTAGCACTTAGAATTCAACAACTCAGCAATTTCAACTAAAGCCATTTCACATTTAATGTGCAATGCCTGGGCATAAAATTTAAAGCCTTGAGAGGTGAAGGGACCTCAGAGTTGTCTCCATGCCCAGCCCAACACATCTACTGCCTGCCTGCTTCCCCTAGTCAGTGTCCCTGACTGAATTTGTTCTTTAACAGTTACTCAAATTTTCCATGACATTCTACCTCTGTGTTCTCTTTCTTCTGTCCTTTATTCCAATCTCCGCCTTGAAATTTTCTGTGTAACTTCTAAGACTCAGATTTAATGGCATGTCTGTTGAAGCCTGGCCACCTGCTAGAGCGACTCTCTGCCCCTCTGACGTTTCTCAGTACCTCAACCTCTCAGAACACTTGCTGCCTCCTATTCTGTCCCTGTGACCTCCCCGGAAAGCAGGAGGACAGGGACAGTGTGTGATTCAGCTCTTTTCCTTAGTACCTGGCACAATGCTCAATTCAAAATGGTCAAGCACTCTATTTACAAAACATTTTTAAGACTTTTTTCATTTTTAAAGAAAGATAACGATTAATGAGCTTATAATTGAAGCTATTCCAAGCACTTGGACAATATCTCGAAGAGATGTCTTTGCAGGAGATTCACAGTGGTGCTTGTAGCCAAGCCAGCAGGCTCGGAGGCTCTGACTACTTCCTTCCAGCAGCAGGAAGTTGCATGGCCGATTACTGGAAACGAAAGACAATGCTCTTCCAGGGATAAAGTGAGAGCACGCAGAAGACATGAAAAAAAAAAAAAAATTGAATGTTGGAGAATGAAATTAACTGTGCCTTGTTTGTAGATTATGTAAATGGAATCAAGAAATGCATCTGGAAAGGCAGCCTAGCCCTGAATTGAGAAATGTCTATTTCACTTTAAACTCTGTCCTCTTAACAAACCTGATTTGAATGGAAAACTGATGCCAGAAAATCTAAACAGAAATCAGGAGAAAATAAGTAACTCCTAAAATATAGAAGAAAAATGGCAGTAACAGGAGAAAATATGGCAAGAATTACTAAAAAGCAGATGCAGATACATGACCTAACCTTGACAACTTAGCACAAGTCTAACAAGAGCAATAATCAGAGACATGGCTAAAACACTCCTCAACAAGGAAAAAACTGCCAACGCTGGTCAAAGGTGTTCCCTACATTTTAGCCAAAAATCAGTGGAAATGGGGGTCACATCTAAAACTATTCAGGTCTTGAGATGTCTTTTTTTGTCACAAAGATACATAACTAGATTAAAGCGTGATATAATTTCAACTTGAATTCAAGGCATGGAAACTGTCAATTATTTTCGACTCTGGGCACACTGAAAATACACTACACTTTTGCTGTCTCCTTCACCCAAACACAAACACAAAATAGACTTAATAGTACCCCACAGAGGGAATACAATTTGGCCTATATAAGGTGCTTGACTTTCAGAAAGTCTGGGTAACAGAGTACCACGATCAACAAGTCACTGTAAGGCCCCTCATTCTTCGCCCTGCCTCAGTTACTCCCCTCTTGCCTTCTTCCTGCGTAAACAAGCCCATTCAAGTTTTGCCTGCTTGCTGTTTGGTGTTTAATTACTGGCATATTCTAATTCTTCCTTTGCCCTTAGATCTGCAAGACATTTCCCCCATCCCCAAACCACATTTCTACCCCAAAGACCTCTCCCTACCCACTCCCAGGTCCATCTGCTTCTAGTACGACAGTCCAGGCTGACCCTTGAATCCCCTGCTTGTTTGGGAAGGAAATGTGGACCCCTACTCTATTTTTAGCACATAATATTCTAATCATCTGAGCAGAATTACTTTCTGCAAAATAACCAAGTTTGAAAAGTAATGTCAAACTAAGTAAACAGGCAGAATCACTTACATCAACGGTGCGCAAAAGGAAAAGGAACAATTCAGATGACTGAACCAGCACTCAGAGGACATAAGAAAGAGTGACCGGAACAGGAGTGAGCTCTAATCCAAGCTCTCCAATTAAAGATACCCCCAGCATGTCCCAGGCAAAAATACTTTAAAAGCCAGATAAGAAGCCTTATTATACATTAAGTTTACAGATAGAGCAACTGCCACAAATGCAAGAATTTCTTAAGACTAAATCTTTTAGGGTGAAAAGCAACGGATTCATGTGCTGCTACAAGACCTGTTTTAGCCACGTGCAATTTGTGACTGATTCCACTGAGGCTGTAATTAGCATTCTCCATGTTTTTACATTTTTCCCTGAGAAGACACACTCAAAGATGTTCAGTTCTAGTTAACTTCTCACCCAAATTATCATTCTTAATCCAAATACCTGTAACTTGAAAACACTCCATTTCTATTGGTATTTTCCTATAGCAAGTTTGTATTATTCAATGCTAAAATGTTTCAAAATGAGCTTTTTTTATTAAAACCGATGCATGCTTTTTGACTGGTGTGCTTCAGAATACAAAAAAAAAAAAGCAAGCAGCAGTTATTTGGAGAGGGAGGGGCACCCGTTGTAGGCTGCTTTTGTTAGAAACAGGCAGACAAGCTGTATGTTGATACTGCTGCAATCTGCCATTTCCTAAGAAGGAAAATGTCCCAAACTAAGTTATAAGAAAAATGGATGTGCATGGCAAAGAAACTCAAAATTCATATCTTATATCTAAAAATGAAAATTTATTCCTCCCCTTTACCATCAACAGTACTATATCCAGCCTAACTTGCTTTAGATCATTTCTGTGTTAGCCTTTCTTTTCTAATACTAGCAATTCCCTTCCCATTGCATCAGTATATAGAGCAGAAATTCCATCAGGCATTCTACTGTTTTGTATTTTCAATTAAATATTGTAATCAACATATCCCTTATTGGTTAGTGGACTTCTCACAAGCTAGATATAGCAAATTAACTTTTGCCTGAAACAAGACTCAGATTTGAATGCTAGAAGATGAATAGGATGTTGGTTCAAACTTATTTTTCTCTCATTGATGTTCTTTTATCATCAATAACTTCCTTCAAATACAACAGAAATTAATCTCTAATGCCATGCAATTATTTTTACAAAATAACTCAAGGCAATTGTTTTCTGTTGCATCTCACATGTCTAGTTATTTGAGTTTCAACAATGAATGTCTTAGTTTCTGTACATTTTGAACTCTGTTTAGAAAAGGTTGAATCAATTTTGCCACGGTCCACTTACCTACCTTACTCCCCTCTGGGTAGGAAGAAAATTATATCCTGAGGGAGGGCCTCGCTAGGTCACAGCCTTCTTATAAAGGTTTTCTTGGACAAAACACTAACATGGATTTTTCCTTATAGATCATTGCCTTTAGGAGAATACTATGTATGTTCTTTTTTCTTATATAAAAGTTTAAATGATTGATAAAAGGTTTAGAAGATAGTAAGTGAAAGCCTGATATAACTAATAGGACAGTGGTATTAAGAATGTCTTTATATTCAAGTAATTCACTCATGTTATTGTTAGAGTATATATTATGTTTTTAAAGCGAGGCTTATGAGGATAATGTTAAGAAAACAACAACTATAGATTTTACCAGAATTGGCTGCCGTGTGACACAAAGGTAAAAAAATTGATTGAACTCAAAATAAGGCTAGTGAATAACATGAAATTTCCCTGCTTCAACTATCTTTTTTTTTTTTTTTTTTTAAGATTTATTTATTTATTTATACATGCACTGGGTATAGTCAGAAGTGCGGGAGGGTGAGAGAATTCACCAGAGCCAGAGGGGATTGCAGAGCAGACAGAAGGACGGAAGTACACTGCTGAGGGGAGCAGCGGGCGGCAGGAGAGGTCTGCGCGCCATGTGGGACCCTCACCGGTGGCCGGGGAGCAGCCGGGGATCGAACTGGTGCTGCAGAAACTGTGGGCAGCTTCGCAACCCAGCGCTCAACCGCTGCGCCACCGTGGAGGCCCTGCTTCAACTATCTTTGACTCTTTTATTTCCATATAAGCTCAGTCTGAGCTGGTTGTACACATTTATATAAATCTGTTAGCTGTCCATCTGAAAATAAGAGGAAAATTCTAATGGCAATGAAAGTGTAGAGTGAGAATATTCAAGAAATAATTACCTACATATGGGTAAACACTGACTGTCAATATTTTGTATTAGGTTCTGCAATATAAAGTGCAAAGAATAAAATAATTAAAATGAGGGGAAATACACTTTAAAAACAATACAAGGCAAAACCAGAAATTGCGCACTTTCCTTTTCTCAATATTTATGAAATAAGAGATTGATTAAATGAAACTAGAAATGAGTGTCGAGAAGCAGACACATTGAAAGAAATCACATTAGGATATTTATGACACTAAACAAATAGGATTTAAATTTAGATTGAAAGCAGGGCCTCGCCAGTGGCGAAGCAGTTGAGTGCTAGGCTGCGAAGCTGCCCACTGCCTCTGCAGCACTGGTTTGATCCCGGCCACCGGCGAGGGTCCCACATGGCGCGCAGACCTCTCCTGTCTCGCCCGCTGCTCCCCTCAGCAGTGTGTTTCGTCGGTCTGCCTGTTCTGTTCCCTGCTCTGGCTCTGGTGAATTCTTTCTCACCCTCCCACGCTTCTGACTGTACCCAGTGCTTGTATAAATAAATAAATAAATCTTTAAATAAAAAAATTAGATTGAAAGTAGTTAAGGTCAGTCTGAAAACTCAAATCATACCCTTTAGTTACAGGAAAAAAAGGATGAAGAATGAATTAAAATATTTTAGCCAAAAAACTCAATTTATAATAATTAGTTCCTGAAGAAGAGTCCAGAAAAAAAGATAAGCCAGAAAAAAGATGTAATGAAGAATATTTTCTGAAATAAAGGCACAAGCTTAAGTGATCTCATTGAGTGTTTAATGCTCAATGAAGAAAAAACACTAGAAAAATCCTTTAAATATATATAAATACACAATTGAGATTTAATATATAAATAGAAGCACTTTGTGATAAAGTATAAAGCAATTTTATAAGCATTTTGGCAAAAATACTCTAGAAAAGAGAAAACTCTGAGCAGCCTTGATATATCCTCCACAATATTATACATCAAAAATATTTGAAATGCTACATGGGGAAGTTGTAACAGATGAATTCTATTCAACCAAATTGTTAATCATTTGAGGAAACACAATGTTACCTCAATTATGCAAAATTAAAGATAAAGTATCAACTCCATAATCTTCCTAGAAAACAATTAATAAAGCAAGCCTCTAAGAACAGACTATCTACTCAAGTGTTGAAGCAAAATACAGAATCACATAGGGAAGGTGCAGTTTAAAATGTTTAGCGGTGACCACTGAAATCAACATTGTTGAAAGTATTTCTGAAGTTAGGATTACCAAACAATACAAATGTAAAAATCAATTACTGAAAGAAAGCAATCAACTCACCTTGAGATAGATATACACCTGGCTGACAAACATCTTAGACAGAATCTCTGAAGTGCCCAAACTTCACACATTCTCATTAAAGAGTCACTGTGCAGGGATATTAGTTGGATGTTGCAGGGAATTAGACTTTAATCCTATTTCCAGGAATGTATACTAGCAAAGAGGTTAGCCAATAACTTTTTAGTTCCTATGTCTGTAATATCCCTGACAGGCATTTTAAAGATCTTGCTTGCTAAAATCTTATGACACTCTTAAAATATGGGTACCATCAGATCTTCTGTGAAAATGTAAATTGAATGCTAGGAAATCAGACTAGTTAAGTGATATTCCTATTGCACATGGAAAATAGAGCTGAGATTTTAATACATACTGTCTCGTTCCAAAACCTGGGTGTTCCCTGTCCACATCTCACCTCTTCTCACTGGCGGTCACTAATGGTTTCTTCAATCACTTTAGTTAAGACGAACCATGTTATTTTCAACTCTTCTTAGACTAAGTTCAGCAGTTTGACATTAAGAGAGAACTCCCCTTACTTTATATGCTAAGTGCAATATATAAACTATTCAAAAGTTATACCTATTTTGCTAGTTTTTAAAATCCACTGTGATTTCTTCTCAAAACACCAGAGAATCTTATGCCATATATATATCACCTTTAAAAACAACAACAAAAAAAAATCAGTCCACAACAATTATCTATGTATTTGTAACATCACACAGCAAATGAGTTCTAATCAAAGTTGCATATAGTTCAAACTATCTTAATGCTTTTCATTTTTAAAGTTTGAAAAACTACCTGAAACAAATTCAAGTAGGTTAGATTTATAAGGCACAATCGAGTGCCATAAAACAAAGAAGTTATAAGGCCCTGTAATGTTTACTGCATTTCCATTAGAAATCTACATTCTAATTATTAAGTGGTCATAAATCTGTATTTCATGGAAAATAAACTTTCTTTATAATCATAGTTTATTATAATTATGTTACCTTAGATTTATTGGGGCTTTAAATTTTATTAGAAGCATTAAAATGGAAGTAGAAACAATTTAGCTCCCAATTTACTGACATACTGTTAAAGAAAAAGTCAACTTCACAGGTCAAATTATTTCTGTGTGCATTTCAACATTAAGAGTATGTTGTTCATTTTGGTACAATCTATACTTAGAATGAGAACTTCTATGTCAAGAACTTGGAGACACCATGACTTAGTCCGGAATAAACCACTCTGGTCTATAACATTCAGAAATGCAGAAACAGCATTTGATATTGATATTTAAGAGTTTCCAAATTCAAAGATATTTTAGTAACCACTATGTATAGTCACCAATTCAAACACACACACACATTCCATCTTACATTCATAGTTCAC